CAGCAACACGTAAAATCAAATGCAATACTTTTTCTTGATTTTTAAAAGAGATATTTTTTTTTTAAATTTTAAATCTGCTAATTATTCATCAACATCTGTAAAAATGAGAATTGAATCACAGCAAGTAAACTATAGTTTCAATACACTGGACCAAGTAGTCTTCCTACAGTCATGTGATTCAAATAAACATCACTCTTTTTTCTTTAAGGGAATATAGTTAATTATATGTCATCAGAAAGATGATAATACATACATTTCATAGGTTATAAGATAATTGATGCAAGTTTATTCTGGTGTACTAAAGTGGCGATGAGTGATTGGTAAATGAAATTGGTCACTATATAGCACTAGATTCTTTATGGTATGGCTGGTGAATTATAAAAAAAAAATTCCCAAAGATATTTTGACAATGAAAATGATTAAAAAAAAACAATTGTATGTCAGCAGTGATTTTTCATCTTTTATAACATAGCCCTATAAAAGGCCCTCTTCCCAAACGGAATTTTCTTTAAAATCATGCAGTTTTCCCAAAAATCTGAACTTCACCAGCCTTTGTACTCCCCAAATTAGCAATTCTAGTGAAATTTTTTCCCAAAATCAAGAGGCTAAGGCCTCTTTCCAATTAAGTGAGAAAAACCAATGGACATGTATTTCACTCATTAATAAATTTGTAAAATCATCTGCATTCCTATAATGGCAACTAAGCTATCATATTGATGCATAGTCAATGTGTTACCCCTGGACCACAGGGAAGTTATAAAAAACATCCTTACTTTATTTTTCTGAAAGTGTAAAAAACAAATGTTCACCACCATTTAGGTGGCATTTAATTCTAGATCACAATAATCTGAAGCTTTACGGAAATAGCTGAGCAATTTTCCTTGATCAAAATGATATTCAGCCACGTAATTTGTAATTGTGTATTTATTGACAATTCTATAAGCCAAAGATTCTTTTGAATTTTTGAATGTGTTACAATTTGTTGGATGCTTGTAACACAATAAAAATATCTCTTCCTTTCACATTGCTAGTTTTAAGCTGTTTTGAAAACTACTTTTTGTTGTTAGGATTGTCGGGAAGCGCTGTTCCAGATATTGAATGTCTGCATTGTATTTCCTGATCTGTGATCAGATAAAACAAAAATGCAAGTACTGTAATACTATGATGGTGAGTCAAAATCTTCAAATTATTAGCTTTAGATAACAAACTTCCAGCAGTTAAAACTTGCTACAAAATTCAAGATATATAAACAAACAGTATGTCAGTATATGGGATTATAACTTATTTTAATTAACTGTGTAAAAACAAAAATAATTGACTGTATAAAAACAAATTAAGAAAAATCAGTGTTGCATCTAGGCCACGCGATTTGCGCATATATTTTGCCGATCGCGCATTTTAAAGAAGTCATCTTCTTCTTCTTCTCATTCAGCGCTACAATCTCAGGCCGCCCACATCGATGAAGGTTGCAGTCTTCTGCAGTTCCTCCATTGCGCCGTGTAGTTTCGTTTGTATCCCGGTCTCCACTGGCCACACCGCTCTTCTCTGTTGTTCCAGGAGAGGACATTGTTGTAGGAGATGTTCAGCTGTTTGGTTGTCACGTCCACAGGAGCACTTGGGAGAGGCAGCTAGTTTTATTTTGTACATATGTGCGTTCAGCCTGTTATGACCTGTGCGGAGCCTAAAGATAGTTACTTGCTCCTTCCTGTCCAGGTAGTGGTAGTCATCCTTGTTTGACTGGCACCTCATTGCTGCTTTGATTGTTGTTGTCTTCTCCTTGTAGCTGATGTGGTTCATGGGCTGATCACCTTCCGATCCTAGCTTTCTGTCCCTTCTACCATTGGTATGTTGGATGTAGATGCCAGCTCCCCAATCTTTTATAGCTGCTGTAGCTGAGCCATCTGTATAGATATGAGTCCATGACTCTTGGGGGTACTCATCAGCTATCATTGCGAGTGTGAGTGCTTTTTTGGTGACATCATCTTTGGTACTTGAATGGAGTAGTGGCACAGTCATATTAATATGGGTGTTGGACAGTTCTTGAATCCATAGGGTTGGCAGGTCCGATTTATCAAGTGGTATAATAGATGGACCAAGTTTTTCAGCATAAGTTCTAGTCAGTTTCTTGGCCTCGTGTACAAAGCTATCTCTGCGCAGACGATTCTTTGTCAGCCCTTGTAACTTTTGTGTCATTCGGTGTTCTGGCAGGAACTCATATTTGCTGGCTTGTACAAGTGTTTTGGCATCTCTTCTATGACTGAGTGGTGGCATTGTGGTAAGGTTCTTCATAGCCTTGATTGGAGTGGATTCTATTGCTCCTGTTTTTACACGTAATAATTGGTTTTGGACCTTGTCGAGCACATTCTAGTCTGTCTTTGACATAGTTATCCAAGCTGAGGATCCATATTCTAGATGGGGCCTAATTATGCCTTGGTATACTGTCTTTAGTATTTCCTCATTTGCTCCCCAGTTGGTGCCTGCCAGTTTCCGGAGTATAGCTAGCTTTTTCCGGGCCTTGGTTTCAGCATGTACTACATGCTATCAATCTATTTCGCTCATCGGCCATACTGGTTAAGTAAAGCGTTTTACAGATTGATTCCAATTTTTTGAACGGAAAAATATATTCGAACACACTGACGGTGCATGGGCAATTATTTCGTTGAAAAAATATTCCGTTAGAAACATCTGGACTCATTTAAACGCTTGCATTTGAATTAGCTGAACACACTGACAGTGCATGGGCAATTATTTCGCTGAAAAAATATTCCGTTAAAAACTTCTGGACTCATTTAAACCCTTGCAATTGAATTAGCCAATCAGATTTCGCGCACCGTATGGCGGCCATTTGTATATTGGCTGTAAAATGAGAGGATTTAATCATGACTTTTCGGATGTGACCAGGGCCAAAACACCTTTTTTGGGGAAGGGGCCTTAGCCTTTTACTTGGGGAAAATAAGCGCGATTTTCGCATATTTGGGGGAAAATTGGGCTGTTTCATAATCGTCAAGAAAGGGATATATAACATTAATATGGAAAAATAATTAAACAACATAGACTCTCTTATAACTAAAAAAAAACAATTTTATTCATTGATTCTTGCTTTATAATAACATTTCCCTATTCTTTCTTGATTTAAACTCATCCACCAGAGCGTTCTCTGATCTCTCGGACTCCGTTTTATCAACAATGACAACATCATCAACAGCACAGACACTTGGGGTTTGGAGCTCAAAACGCCTTTAAAATCCAAATAAAATGCATATTTGTCTATCCCAGCACATGTACTGATCATATATATAAAAAAAACTTAATATAAGCCGTTTTGAAAAAAAAATCATATTTCAACATCTATTTTGAGCTCCAAACCCCTAGTGTCTGTGATCAACAGTGGTTGAAGAAGTACACTTCTCTATCTCAATGACTTTAGATCTATTGGTATCTGAAGGTGTATCTGATACTTTACTTGATTCACTTACGTTTTTCTTTTGAAAAAAAGCCGTGATATTTTTGGAATTTTTGGAATCGGACAATTGAATTTTTTTGTGTAATGTGTCCAGTTATGCGACATTTTGAACTTTGCCGTAAAGCGCCGGTATACAAAAACATATATGTTGTAAAAATTTAGTTACAGTAATGAAAACGATTTAAGTACTCGAAATTATTAGTTAAACTTCGTACAATAACTTACCTATGTAGCGGTAAAATAACCGTAAATATCTTTTTACATCTAAAGATAGATTTTCGGTTTTTTACTAGAGCTAAGGTCATCTATTTTTAGCTTTTGAAAAAGTACAGCGTCATGTTTCGCGAGACAATGAAATGTTAACAACTATTATGCATACCCCTCTAGGGTATAATACAGTATATTGCGTCATGCCTAGCGAGTCAATGAAATTCTATACGATCAATGTTCACACCCCTCTAAGCGGATATTAATAGGTCACGGTTTATTTTTACATATGGGGATTTCATGTTTTCAACGCTGTTCGGAAGAAAAATCGAAGAAATCTTGAATATTTTCCTTTTTTCTGTAAATTCAGTTCTTAATTCTGCAGGGGATTTTCAAGCGATTGGGGAATTTTTAGGACCAAATTGGGGAAAAAAAGAGGCTAGTTTGGTTGGGGAAGTAGCCGATATTCGGCGTCTTTAAAGAAGGGTTTTTTGGCCCTGGTGACAGTTTAATTATTTTGTTAAAAGGTATTTATTTTTTAGTTTTGTTCATAAATAGGTCAAAATTAATGTAAATACACGCTGTTTTAATTGTTTAAATGCATTAGATCTAAATCTATGTCTAATGTCAATTTTTTTGTTACACGATTTTGCAAAGATCTGTTAAGACCTAACGTAACATGGAAAATGAAAAATGTAAAATATCAGATTAATGAATGATAAATATGAAATAGGTTACGTATAGGTCTTATAATTAGGACTAACCTGTAGGTCGATTCTGGGCTCTGATGATAATGTTTCACCCGGTGAATTTTAAGCGTAACAGAACAACATTTAAATATAGGAAGGCAAGTTCAACAATGTCATGAACAAAGGTATGTATGTTTGATATTGACGTGAGAAAATAAGTGCCTATAAGAAGATAAAATAATGATAAACTAATAAATAATTTGTCACGAAAACCCATTACATTACGTACATTTTGTATTAACTTTCATAAAATAAACTATGAAAAATTAAAAGATATGTTGCAATTAGTAAAAAATTACCTGTCCAATTTAAGAACTTGCGGTTAACTAGAGATGCACACTCCTGTTACTTGTATTTCGCTTTAAAACACGCATGACATTTCGGCGTCGTACGACGGTGGCGTGATAAACATAAAATCTGGACTGGACTCACTTAATTAGTATAACAGTCAATACTAATTTTGTTCTATTCTTTGTAAGCTTCTGAGTGACAGAGATTTGTTTACGTACTAAATCTTTATGCCAGTCTAAAGCGGACCGTCTAAAGCACCTGCTAGACTGCTCCGAATTTATGATATGATATGCTATCGGTAATGTAGGAACTTTTAAACGCAGTCTACAGTGTTACCAAGCACGCTAAAAAAGAAAAAAAACAGGAAGTTGTAACTTTCTTTTATTAATTAGATGGGTATATGCAAAGATGCTGCATGTGACAACAGAAATAGGAAAACCAGGGAAACAAGGTTCGTCTTTATGGACATAATTTTATGTGCCGTGATCTTGGTGATGGCTAACATACACTGTATGAATACAGAGTTTAAAATCAGTTTTCTTGATGATGCTGGACATGCATGTTCAGATGTTTGTATTTCATTTTGAATAGGCTATTCATTTTTTTGTAATCTTGAGACTTCTTCAAAAGCAGGGTCTTTCATCTATGGGATCACCATCAACTCAGACATCTTTCTTTCCAAAATCTACACTAGTTCAGAACGTACTTATATTTCATCAAGTCTGACTCATTTTTTTATTGATAGATCTATAAATTTAAATTAGTGTCAAATTTCTGATTGGAATGATGAAACCTTTACCTTATTATAATGGATTTGTCCCAATGTAATGCATATTTCACTGTTAGGAAACACGTTATATGTTATTTGCAAACTAATCAAATTGGCCCCAAGTCATATCGGCCCCAAGTCAAATCGGCCCCAAAATTAGTCAAATCGGCCTCAAAGTTAGTCAAATTGGCCACACAACAATTTTTAAAAAGTCAAATCGGCCCCAAAACTAGTCAAATCGGCCCCAAAACTAGTCTAATCGGCCTCAAAACTAGTCGAATCGGCCCTAAAGTTATTTTTGTGAAACATCCTATTTTGGTTAAAATAAGGTTATAATTAACTGAACATTTCAAGGTTATTAACTGAAAATTGCGCTTTAACTTAAATGCACCATTTAAAAAATTCATTACAAAATTGAAACATTTTTGATGCTATGATTGTTGATTGATTTCTATATTTCTACGTGTCTTTAATCAATTCAGTCATTGTCTCAAATGATCATGCATTGAATTCGGCCTTTTTAACATACAATTTTGTGTGAAGTGAATTTAATCAGGTATATGTAAAAAAAGGTTGATTTTTTAGCAACAATCAAAAGTGTATTTTACTATTTACTGTTAGTTACTCGATCAGTGATCTTTTGTGCATTGATTATTTTCCTTTAATTTTGGAGATTATTTACGTTGATGGACTTGATTGTAAAAAATTGTTATTTGTTCTTTTTAATAACTTTATTAAATTAATAAATTGTGAAAAGTGTTGGTTATTGAAAATGACTGATAATTGTATAGACTGTGGAAGTGTTGTGCGGAAACGGCAGGAGGCAGTCACTTGTGATGCTTGTGAAGTTGTGACAGATGGCAACATAAAAAGTGTAATACCTATGAGTTACTTTAATTGACAAACTTATCAGGAGTACAAATATTGCCGTTTTATGTGAAAATATATCATCATGACTAACAACTATAAATACTTAAAAATAATGGTGAATTAATTGCCATAGCAAAATAAGTAAAAAATAAAATTTTATTTTATTTCTAAATTCAACTTTTTAAAAGAGTAGTTTTTAATTTAAATTATAGTTTATTGATAAAAAATAAATAGAGATGCAATGCTACTGGATTAACGAATGCGTGATGCAATTAACGGTAATGTTTAAATTAGCTGTTTATTAGTTACACGTGTGAAAAACCTCAATAGCCTCATACAGTTACATTTATCATGTTTCATATGTTTATAGTACATTGAAGATACATGTCAAACGTTATACTCAGACAATAAATTTGATCATTATATGTTTTGTTCTTTTTTTCTTTGTAATCCATGATTTCTCATTTGGTATTCCCATCCACACAATTGTTGTTTTTTTATCATCAGAATTTTATCAATATGCATGCAGAATTTAGAAAAAAAGAAAATGAAAAATGAATAAAGAAAATTAAAAAAATGGGGCCGATCTGACTTGAGACCGATTTCACTTGAGGCCGATTTGACTATTTTGGGGCCGATTTGACTTGGGGCCGATCTGACTTGGGGCCGATTTGACTGTAAAAGTTAAAACTGTTATTTGGGTTTGTAGTGATATATGTGGATATATTTCCTGCCAAGATTAAATATATCACCCGAGCCGTATTATTTTAATACTTAAAATTGTATGATTGTTTATTATTTATTTTTATTTATTATGCAGGTAGATATTTAAGTGATTTGCAAATTATTTCAATTTTGTATGTAACTATTTTAGAAACTTCCTTAGTTTGCTAGTATATATTGTAGTTTCTTGTCACATATGATTCTCTAATACAAGACCTCAGCAGTGTCTTAACTTGCATTAATGGAAATGTATTACAAAATGTCAAAACAAGGTATTTGAAAAGACAATTCTTTGAATTTCTTTCTCCTTTCCATTGCAATGTACATGCATTTCTAGACATGCTATACAAAGGATTTAAAAATGTGCATAATCAATAATTATAAATTACACGTATGTATAGGATATCGACCGAGTACGAGGTCTTTCTGTTTAGGAAAGACCTGGTCACGAATTTCATGTGACAGCGAGAGCGCGTAGCGCTCGAGGTGTTTCATGAAATTCGTGACCAGGTCTTTCCTAAACAGAAAGATCGATGTACGAGGCCGATATCCAACTTACACACCGTAAAACTATATTGGCTTGAGCAATGGCTGATTCGGAACATTTGATGTAATGCACAAATATTATTTTTATCACAACGCATATACAGGTAAGCTTTTAAACTTTTCAACGTTCTGCTTAAATACAATATATATTATATTTTGCATTTAACTTTGCTTTTCCCTATAATAATAATCAAAAAAGCTAAATGTGCAATTTGTCAATAATAAAGTGAATAGGTCTGTATTCGAAAGTATGTTGAAGTATGAATAATTATTTTGATAGAATTTCGTATCAGACAATGCAGATTCTAGGACATTTGTCCCCGGACAGTTGCCCCCCGGACGTTTGCCTTCTTTTTTGCTGTTGTGACTTGTCACTTGTCATCTCGTGTATAGATTTTTGTATGTCAATGGAAACATAATAGTTCATTTATTTATGGGTGCTATTTTGACTTTCACAAATTTGCACGAAATTTTGTGTATTTAAGCACAATGAAATTTCGACAATAGGCGATGAATTTTGGTAGCTATCAATTCAACAATAAAATATTTTAACATTTTTAAAACAGGGAAGAGGGGCAAATGTCCGTCCCTTCCAAAGATATGAGGGGCAAATAACCGCCACTGGAAAAAGGGGGCAAACTTCCGAGGGGGCAATTGTCCGAAGGGCAATGTCCAGATACCCAACAGACCACGAAAGACTTACATATGTATATTGTTGGCAAGTGTAATATACATGAACCGAAACTATATTTTGAATATCAGATTATAAAGTGTTCTAGAATAAAATATGATCGTTCATCATAAATTTTATACTAAATCACTTATAACTTAATTAACATTTTAAAATCGTAATAATTATGCTGTGATTACTGCTATATAGTTTCATAGATATGAACTTGAAACGTCCATTTTGTTATATTGTGAACTTAGTGATAGAAGAACCACTTAGATTACTATTTCTTTCAAAAATGACGCGATTAAATAAATGTTAAATTTGTCCTAACTTTATATGATATCCATTATTTTTATTCAAAGATTTGATATAGGGATGCAGGAATAATTGCTTAGTGCATTCAGTAAACATTATCTTGTTTAAAAGATGTATCTGGATTTTGTAAGACAGGAACATTATGACACTCATTTACATTTTATTTCAATTTTTAATTTTTGATTGCATTTCATGTTTGTTTTCTTTGTCTGCGCTTTGGCAGGTCATTTTTTTCACATGTATTTCATGACCGGGTCTTTCTGACTAGAACAGACCTGTGCACGTGCAAAAGATAGACCTCATAACAGACTTTCTTTTGTTTAAGCAGGTCTATCCAAATAATATAGACCTGTCACAAACAATAGAGGAGGTGTGTAATTACACATAATTCTTTGTGAGATGTTGCCTTAAGATTTTAAAATATACAGCAAATATTGATTACATTCACTTGACCCTCATCATGTTGAATGAGGAGATCAATTAAACAACATAATTATATACTGCTCAATTAAGTTGTCACATCATGTGATAAAACTCTGAAATAAATATTCATTATTGTCAAAGGGACTTCACTGAAGTTTTTTTTACATGATGGGACTTGAAATACGTATTTAAAATTTTGTATTAATTTGATGTACATGTAGGTGAGGACCATGAAACTGTCATTTGCTCAATCCATTTTTTTCCAGGAAATTAAAAAATTTTAAAATGAAATGCATTTGAACACATGTAACTCAAAATGGGCTAAGAATTGCACAAAAAAAAATATCATTTTTCACTTTTATTCTGAGAATCTTCTTTTTTAATCTTTTATAATTATGATTTTCCAATTTAGTGTCCTAATTGATCTATTTTAAATTTTGTATTTTTAGGTATTTGGATCTCAGGGTCAGCTCCTATAAACTTGATATGAATTTAAGGTGAAGCTTGATCCATGATCATTAAATAATCATTCTGTTAACAGTTATAATGCTCAAGGCTACATCTATAGTTGCAGCAATAATTCATCCAACATTTACTCCCACAAGGTTTAAATTTCATAAGATTGCCTAAATAAATGTTATCCGGAACTCGGAAAATGTAGGTATAAACAAGCTTCATGGTGCACTACCCGTCACAATACATTATAGTCAACCTGTTGTGTTTATTTTTGAAGCTGACGTAACTTGTACCTACAGATTAGCTGGGAAAAACCCAAATATTCTTAAAGGGTTTCCACTGAGGTTTAAAGGCCTAAAAACATAACATTTGAATTTCTTACATAAATGAGCTGGGGCACTTTAAACAGAAATATATGCAAAGATAGTTAAGAAATGTACTTTGAAATAAATTGAAAATCGTTTTTTTATGCACTTCCTAGCCCAATTTGAGTGAAAAGCATTTAAACGCTTTTCATTTTGGGTCATTTTTTTTATAATTTGAATAATTATTCTCAAATAGGAAATGCGCAAATAATCTAAAATTTTGCACCTAAACCTACATCAAATGGTACATTTATCTGGAAAAAATATTTTCCGTCCCATAATGGCATTATGTCAAAAAACCTCAGTGGAGTCCCTTTAATTTCAGAGTTTAAGTCTATTGAGTAGATCATAAATCACCATACATGTTACAATATATAGGGTGCAGAGGTGTTCATTGGGTCAAAGATGAAGTTAAATTACATTCTTATTTTATTGAATGATTGTGCTTTTTGATAAGCATGCTAAATTATTCGAGGGTCACTAGACCCAAGGTCAAGTCAACCAGGTGACCTTGAAATAAAAAGCTTTCTTTGACGTTTAACTGACATTCTTTACTAACTTCATTGGGCCTTCAACTTCATAGTACAATTTTGTTCTGTTGCAGAATTTTATGAATTGAACATGTATCAGAACCGAGCTTTGTTTAAACCCACACTCTGCTGGAGCTAAAAGAGATTTATCCTTGTCACCAGTATTGTGTCTGCACATCTGATGTGGCTTTGTACTGTTGGTGATTGACTTAAAATGTTCATCTTGAAATCCTTTCCGAAAACTAACATTTGAAAAGGCAAGAATCTAAATCTAAACTAAGTAAAAAGTACACAAGAACTTAAATAAATGAATAAAGATCATGATATAGCTAAGATTATAGAATATAGTACTGGATATAAACAAATTATACAAACCTGACATAAAGAAGCAGCCATTTCTGAAGGCCATTTTGTTTTAATTTGGTACCAATAAATCCAAAACGTGTTTTTTCCCCCACTTAAGCTAACTTTATATTGAAACTGTCTGAGTACAACTGTAACATACATGTGACAGGTGAGACAAATAATACTGACATACTAATACTTAGGTAACAAATTAGGTTATATGTAAAGTACATTCTGCTCCATACAGATCAAATAATTAGTCTCATTTAACATACAATGTATATCCCTGAAGTTATCATGTCTCAATTTTACAGTTTAATCCAGTTAAAATATTTCTGTATCTCTTTTGCATGGAAATCACTTTTAAATTCGGCATAGTTATTACATAAATTTGCATAATTGTATAACATTATTATCATCATAAATTAGTTTAAAAATTAATTAAGTATGGCAGCTAAATATAATCATGTGACTTTAATTTTAAGTGTCTGTCTTTGATAGGTAATTAATGTGAAGGCAAAATGAATACAAATTTTTGCTTTTGTCTACATAAATGAATTAGATCTTTTTTTAAAAAAAGTGCAGTAGTGTCATCATTTTGTTATTCTAAAGTTTTGTTATACAAGAATTATTTCAGAATATATCAAATAATTGATTTTTAAAATAGTTCTTGGATATATGAACAAAAAATAAAATAAATTATGGGTAGAATTCTATACATTATAATTATTTAAAATAGAAATTTCTTGAAAAAGAAAATTTATTTTGATGTCACATTAACATAACAGGAACAGTTGTGCTATCCTATTCACTGGAATGTCACCTTAGCAGTTTTGTTAAATGTCTTTGAGATCATAACAGATGGTCACTGTCAAGAATTATGAATATCATGGCCTCGTTATTTAATGTTAGCATTTTATTCACAATTTCATTATAAAATTATGCTAAAAAAGAAGGTTAGTTGTTTGTATAAACACTTTAGTTACAACAGGACATAGACGGGCTAAAAAACTTTCCTTGGCCTATTGTTGACAATATATCTGACAAAAAGCTGTCATATTTGACAGTCTCGACAAGTCACATGTAACTGATTGGCACGTGTATAATGTATTTATGATGGTGTATAGTAGAGTTATATCATCATAGCTGATTCAGACATTTACTTTATGTAAAACTTTAGTGATTTTGTACTCTTATAGTAACCAGCTTATTCTTTGATGTACAATAAGGTTCAAATTAAAGGTCAAATTCTTTCCCTGTATTGATTTATAGAATATATATTTTAAATAAGGTCTTTTTTAAAAGGGACATTTTGTACATAAATGAATATATCTGACAAGAGTTGCATGTTTTATCATATTAACCTATGAATTATCTTTCTCTTTGTTTATCAATTTTTATAATCTAATTATAATTTATTAATAATATTAATTATCATGATTTTTTTTCAGTTGTTTTATATTTAGAACATTTAGCTTGTCATCATGAAATACAAATACAAATTACTAAAAGGTTATTTTCATTTAAATCATCACATAATATCAAGGGAATCTAAGGATATAAGGAAACTGTATACTTTAGGGTTAGTTTAGAGTTTTCATTTATTATTTAATTTTACCCATGAAATATGGTGCTATATCAGTCAAATATATTTCATATTTTTCAAAGATAAATATGAAATATAAATATGAAAGTGGGCGGAGTCAAAACTCATATTTATTTTAACGGACTTCTTTCGACATTCTGTTTGAAAAATCTGAAAATACAAACAATTTTTTGTTGAATTTTGTTTTGAAAACTATCTAGAATGACAGAAAATGGTCTAACTAAGAAAATAAATCCGAACGCCAATATCTTTAATTCAGTCATTAACGCTGTACAGACGTTTAAAGAGTTGTTTATGTGACGTCACAATGTAGCGCTAAATATCGCGCGCAAAACAAGACAATAATTATATTACTGCGCGCTGTACAATTGCAGTTGCGTAGCAAGCAGGGAGATTCGTAACATTTTTGTTTTGATAATGAAATTAAATAAAAAGGTTATTTTTTCGTTTTTTCGTGAAATATGGTATATATTTTCACTCAACATGATAAAATGCCACATATTTTCACTCGCCGTCCCGGCTCGTGAAAATATATGGCATTTTATCATGTTTCGTGAAAATATATTCCATATTTCACTCAAACGAAAAAATATCCTCTTAATATTTGTTTGTGCTATGGTTACCGCATGTAGCTAGCAATATCTCCAAATAGTCATTACTGTGCTTTGACATAGGAGTATACAAAGTTTTCTGGCATTTACTGTAAATTTTATATTATTTTCAAAATCTGAAGAGAAAGTGATTGTTAAAAGTACTGATGTGCTCAGTTGTAGTATTTGTTAATTTCATCTAATTTTTGTTTAGTAAACTTTATATAACGTCATTATGACGTCATAACGTCACGACGTCATAAATTTCCTTAGCAACATCAGTATTGGAATAATCTAGGTACTTTGTTGATTGTGATCATATATTAAGGTGAAATATATTTATTTGGTGTTGGCATTAGCATTAGTCAGGTGTTGGATTTAACTTAACAGTTTTGTCAATTTAATGGGACATAACATTTGTTAGCAAAATGCTAATTGTTTTTAATAGTTACCTCCCCTGTCACTGACTGTAAATGAATTGTTTTTTGGCCAAGGTTACTGTCATTTAAAATTCTGTGATTTGATGAAGATAAAGAAAACTTTAAATGAAAAACATATATTATATGATTATGATATAAAATAATGTTGATTTTATTTATTTACATATGTTTTCTCCATATTTATTTACATAAATTTTCTCCATATTTATTTACGTAAGTTATGCCCTTTATATTACAGAGCGTGAGAAACGCCACTTTCCGTACTTACAGAATCAGCCAACTTCACCTACATATAAGCCAAGAGGACGTAGATATTTACCACATGGATATGGCATGTATGATGAGTGGAAGCCTCATCCCCAGGGGATTCAACCTGAATATACAGAGTAAGTTATTATTTATTACCCCTCATCCCCAGGGGATTCAACCTGAATATACAGAGTAAGTTTTTATTTAACCCCTCATCCCCAGGGGATTCAACCTGAATATACAGAGTAAGTTTTTATTTAACCCCTCATCCCCAGGGGATTCAACCTGAATATACAGAGTAAGTTTTTATTTAACCCCTCATCCCCAGGGGATTCAACCTGAATATACAGAGTAAGTTTTTATTTAACCCTCATCCCCAGGGGATTCAACCTGAATATACAGAGTAAGTTTTTATTTAACCCCTCATCCCCAGGGGATTCAACCTGAATATACAGAGTAAGTTTTTATTTAACCCCTCATCCCCAGGGGATTCAACCTAATATACAGAGTAAGTTTTTATTTAACCCCTCATCCCCAGGGGATTCAACCTGAATATACAGAGTAAGTTATATATTAACTCTCATCCCCAGGGGATTCAACCTGAATATACAGAGTAAGTTATTATTTAACCCCTCATCCCCAGGGGATTCAACCTGAATATACAGAGTAAGTTATTATTTAACCTCTCATCCCCAGGGGATTCAACCTGAATATACAGAGTAAGTTATTATTTAACCCCTCATCCCCAGGGAATTCAACCTGAATATACTGTTCAGAGTAAGTTTTTATTTAACCCCTCATCCCCAGGGAATTCAACCTGAATATTCAGTTTAACCTCTACCTCCCAAATGTAAATAATATGTGAAATTGAATTGTTCTGATTTGAGATTTAAATGTCCATTAATCATACTGTAATGAAGAAAGCAGCAATAAAGATGGATCTTGAAAATGATACAGCGACCATTATGGGGACGGAGGTAGCACTGAACTTAACAACATCAGGCCATTACTGCATTCTAATAGATAAAACAGTGAAAGTTCCAGTGGAAAAGGTGTATGCAATTGTCCTTGACAATTTGAACACACAAGAGAGGCGCAAAACTCTTGTGAAACTGCACCTACAATTTGCTCATCCTCCAAAGAAAAGATTGGCGTCATGACTTTTGAAGTACCCTGGAATAGGGAAAGCAGAGTATGAAGCAGATCTTGACCAGATTGTAAACGGATGTGAACTTTGTAAACTTTATGCCAAGACTCCTTCAAGGCCAGTGATAGGTATGCCAATGGCATCCAGGTTCAACGAAAAGGTTGCAATGGACCTAAAACAATGGAATGGGCGCTGGATATTACACATCATAGACATGTGGTCAAGATACACTTTGTCCGCTTTTGTAGACAGAAAGAAGCCATGTAATATCATAGATGCTTTAATGAAAGAATGGGTTGGGCGATTTGGAGTGATGGGATTTTTGTTGACAGACAACGGAGGGGAGCTCAATTCGGATGAGGTAAGGGAAATTACTTCCATACTAAACATTCAGCTATGTACAACTGCAGCTGACAGTCCATTTCAAAATGGATTGTGTGAAAGAGTGCATGCAATTACTGATATGATGCTGACCAAGGTCCATGCAGATTATGAAAAGGTAAATTTGCAGACACTTCTATCATGGGCAAATATGGTGGGGAATTCTTTGCAAATGTGGAATGGTTACAGCAGCTATCAACTTGTCTTTGGCCAGAACCTCAACATTCCAAACATCATGAGCGAAAATTTGCCAGCTTTACAAGGAACGACTAGCAGTGAAGCTTTTGCAAAGCATTTAAATGTTCTGCATGCAACTCGAAGGGCTTTTATACAGTCTGAAGCTGATGAAAGAGTAAGAAGAGCACTCAGAAATAAGGTAAGAGCTTCAGAGCAAGTGTTTGAACATGGAGACCGTGTTTTTTATAAGAGAGAGGGTCGAGAATGCTGGCTTGGACCAGGCAAGGTAGTTTTTCAAGATGGGAAAATAGTGTTTGTGCGACACAGAGCAGGTTTTGTGCGTGTATCTCCAAATAGACTACAAAAAGTTAACAATTTGTGGGATAGAGAAGACCATGATCAAAGTTCAGATGCAGACGGAGGGGCCAAGGTTCAGCAAGAATTGACAAACACAGATGATCAACAAATGATTTCTTAAGAACTACCTGCAAGAAGTTCTGATTATAATTTACAAACAAGGCTAGAAGAGATACCAATTGTCGGGTCTGACAGAGATAGACAGACACAAGATAGAAAGTTCCTGAAACCCAATGATAATATTCAGTATAAAACACAAGACACTGATGTTTGGATCCATGCAAAAGTTCTTGGAAGGGCAGGAAAGGCAACAGGGAAGAACAAACACTGGTATAATGTTATGGAAGACATCAGTAAAGAGAAGAAGAGTATCAATCTGGATCAAGTCGACTGGGAACTGTTGAATGACAATGTGAACCTAGTGTTGGAGAACTGTAAAGTTAACAATAATGTCTCAGAGGCAAAACTTTCCGAATTACAGAAATTGAAAGAATTCGGTACATGCGTAGAAGTCAAAGATTGTGGCCAAAATACATTATCAACAAGGTGGGTCATAACAAAAAATGAACAGACAAAAGCCTGTCTTGTTGTAAGAGGCTTTGAAGAAGAATTCCAAATGAAAAGTGACAGTCCAACAGTGGGAAAAGGAACTATGAGAATGTTTTTTGCTTTTGCATCTATTAACAATTGGATTGTCAAGTCCACTGACATTAAGTCTGCATTTTTACAAGGTCAAGAGATAAAGAGGGATGTGTACATTTAAAGCCCCCAAAGGAGTGTGAAAAGGCTGAAGGAGTTGTCTGGAAGTTATGTCATGTGCAAGACAGTTTTATCTCAGTGTAAAGGAAGAATTGCTGAGACTTGGATGTCAAATGTCTAAAAATGGATCCTGTAATGTTCTTTTTGCATACAAATGGACAGTTGAGCGGTGTAATATGTTGCCATGTTGATGATTTTCTACATGCTGGAAATGAATGCCTTGAGAGAATTATTATGAGTCTGCGGAAAAGATTTGTAGCTGGAAAATTAGAGGAAGGCAATTTTGATTATATTGGAATCAGAGTCATGCAACAGTCCAGTGAAATTTTGCTAGACCAATCCCGGTATGTAGGAAATATAAATACTGTATAAGTACTTATTTTGGCGGGGGTTTATATTTGGCTATATTGGCGGTCAGGGTCAGTAGCGCCAATTCAAACACCGCCAATTTAAAGCACCGCCATTTTAGATCATCGCCATTATTCTTTGAAAGGTAGACAACTCATGGTAAAATAGCTTTGGTTTGTCCGAGTAATCTCCCTTGATTATTTGTAATAAAAAAATAAACATTACAAGTAAGCTGAAAAGAATTTGTTTATTTTTAAGTCTTGGTACGAAACTCATTTAATTATATATCTATATACTGTTTTTATTACGAAGATGATCACACGACGAGAAACAAATCTAAATGTCATTTATTATCGAATTTAAGTAAACTAGTATTTGTTTTGTTTTCACTGTTATGTTTCATAATTTGAAATAAAACTAATGATAACTGTAATTATATAGCAATCAGTTGTGGTGACCGTGAACAATTTTTCACGCTTTAAAGACTGCAGGATAATAGGGCATACCTTTCTCTTCCATGGTCCAGTTACCACACGGTACCATATTTACACCTGTCTGATCCCAGTTAATTATAAGAATTAGCACGATGTAAAGATAAAGGTGACCAAGCATAGGTATACCGTATGCAGTAAAATAAACGAGGACAGTCAACTACTGCGTGACCGGTGTTATTTTTATTTATTTTTTTTATTCTTTATTTGTAATCGCCAATACATGACCCCATATTTATGCCAACAAGTGTTTTAATTTGGCGGTCTAAAAGCGTTTGCGCCAATTTATGACCCCGCCAATTCAAAACACTTTAAAAAACGCCAACATTTGACACTGCAGATATAATGCGCTATACAGTACACATAATTTAGATACCTAGAGGGTGCAACAGAAAGAAGACATTCTTACAGATGAAGAACAATCCACCTATAGACAAATTATTGGCCAGATCAACTGGGCTGTACAAGGAAGTAGACCAGACATGGCTTTTGAACTCATTGACCTGAGTACCTAGCTAAATCAGGCAACTGTAGGTGATTTGTGCAGGGCAGTCAAAACAGTCAACAGATTGAAAGATGTGAGATCTATGATTACATTTCCCAGACTTAGCAAAAATGTCAGTGACTGGAGGATTGTGGTATTTACAGATGCTTCTCTGTGTAACATCAGCAGCGGGACTGGAAGTACTGCCGCTTTTGTTGTGTGGTTAGCCGACAGTCAGGGAAAATGTTGCCCACTTGCATGGCATACTAACAAGATCAAACGGGTCGTTCGCTCAACAATTGCTGCTGAGGCGCTAAGTCTACAAGATGGTCTTGAATGTGGCTATTACTATAGACAGATGCTAGAGGATATTATGAAGCTTCAAAATAACACCATACCAATAATTGCTTATGTTGACAACAAAAGTGTCATTGATGCTATACATTCCACCAAGTTAGTTGATGACAAGCGCCTGCGGGTTGACATAGCCGCCACCAATGAATTTTTGTCCAGGAATGAAGTAAAGGATGTACGATGGTGTCCGGGTAAATACCACCTAGTAGACTGCATAACCAAACGAGGAGCTTCTGGTTACAATCTGCTGGAAGTATTTCATGGAGGGCAATTTTCAGAAGAGTTTACATAGACTGTAATCATATTAATTTAATTATACCCCCGCACAACAAAGTTGTAAGGGGGGTATACTGGAATCAGCTTGTCCGTCCGGCTGTCCGTCCGTCCGGCCGTCCGTCCGTCGGTTTTTTCTTGTCCGCCCAATAACTTAAGATTCCTTTGACCCTTAGTCTTCATATTTGGCATGGAGGTTAGTCATGATTAGTAGATGACCCCTATTGATTTTGAGGTCACTGGGTCAAAGGTCAAGGTCAAAGGGGCCTTGACTTCAAAAAGCTTGTCCATCAAATCACTTAAAATTCCTTTGACCCACAGTCTGTATATTTGGCATGGTGGTTAGTCATGATTAATATATGACCCCTATTGATTTTGAGGTCACTGGGTCAAAGGTCAAGGTCACAAGGGCCTTGAATTCAAAAAGCCTGTCCGCCTAATAACTTCAATTTCCTTTGACCAACAGTTTTCATATTTGATATTTAAATTAGTCATGATAAGTTGATGATCTCTATTGATTTTGAGGTCATTGGGTCAAAGGTCAAGGTCACAGGGGCCTTGACTTGAAAAAGCTTGTTCCCCCCAATAACTTAAGATTCCTTTGACCCACAGTCTTCATATTTGGCATGGAGATTAATCATGATTAGTAGATGACCCCTATTGATTTTGAGGTCACCAGGTCAAAGGTCAAGGTCACAGGGGCCTTGACTTCAAAAAGGTTGTCTGCCCAATAACTTAAGATTCCTTTGACCCACAGTTTTCATATTTGGCATGGAAATTAGTCATGATAAGTTGATGATCTCTATTGATTTTGAGGTCATTGGGTCAAAGGTCAAGGTCACAGGGGCCTTGACTTGAAAAAGCTTGTCCCCCCAATAACTTAAGATTCCTTTGACCCACAGTTTTCATATATTTGACATGGAGGTTAGTCATGATTAGTAGATGACCCCTATTGATTTTGAGGTCACCAGGTCAAAGGTCAAGGTCACAGGGACTTTGACTTCAAAAAGTTTATCTGCCCAATAACTTTAGATTCCTTTGACCCACAGTCTTCATATTTGGCATGGATGTTGATCATGATTAGTAGATGACCCCTTTTGATTTTGAGGTCACTGGATCAAAGGTCAAGGTCATGGGGACTTTGACTTCAAAAAGTTTGTCCACCCATTAACTTAAGATTCCTTTGACCCACAGTCTTCATATTTGGCATGGATGTTGATCATGACTATAAGGTGAACCCTATTGATTTTGAGGTCACTGGGTCAAAGGTCAAGGTCACAGGGACCTTGACAAAAAAAAGAAGCTTTTCTTCTCAATTGCTAAAGAATGTCCTGTCCGCAATGTATTGATTTTGACATTTTCACATTTGAAGCATGTAGAATACATAACTTAGCAATGCTCTGGCTTAGTAACCTCAGATTTGGCAGGGAGGTTGTCCTTGAGCTCTAAATGGCCACTGTTGATTCTGACAAAGTGGTATGCGGGGGTATTCACGCCATGATAGTGGCAGTTCTAGTTTCTGTAATCATATTAATTTATTTTATTAACTTCAACTCAAAAAGAAAAGAAAATATAATGAATGTTAATTGTATGTTCTACAACTCTTGTTTAAGGTAGAACATGGGTAATGGGCACCATAAAGAACTGTGAAATTGACAACATAGGACAGTTATTATTATTTTTTTTTTTTTTTTGAACCACGTTTAAGGCCTGTTTATTTAAGAAAAAATAATACAATACAAGAATACAAACCATGATAACTTTAGTATTTTCATTGATATGTAGATAATTAAAAATAAATTTATTTTGTTATGTTTTTAGTTAGAATATATAAGACATTTTAAAAAGTTAAGAGGTTCATTCATTTATACAATTATACAAGAAAAGGGGCAAAAGGTTGAAAAGTAAATAAAAAGTAAAAAGTAAATAAACTGCTTTAGTAGCATTTTTTCTGCATGTACATAGGACAGTTATATGTCTGTATGCAAAATTTAAATAAAATTTACCGTGTGGTTTATGAGTTATGGATATATTTTTGCCATTAGAAGGGCTTATTTTCAGAAATGAGGAAACTCTAAATAATCTGTAATATCATCATTATAAAAAAATGTTTTTTTATTGCCCATTGTTAAGAAACAAAAAATAACATTCAGGTAACAAATTACACAAGCAAAATGTTTGTTTCTAAACAAAATGTTCTAAATATGTATAAAAATGTTACCCTACCCCACCCACTTTAAACACTAATTTTACCATTTCCCTATCTAAAATGCCTTATTCAAAATATTCCTAAAATTTACCATAATGAGGGGCTGTTTTCAAAGTTTGCCTAAATTTTCTTAAAGGTATATTGGTTGATCATGCGAAATATTAAATACTTTTACCGTGTAGTTTTTATTAGCTCACCAGTCTGTCACAAAGTGACAGGGTGAGCTTTTGTGATCGCTTTTCGTCCGTCGTCCGTCCGGCGTCCGTCCGTCCGTAAACTTTTACTTTAAATGACATCTCCTCATAAACCACCAAGCCAATTTCATCCAAACTTCACAGGAAAGTTCCTTTGGTGGTCACCTTTAAAAATTGTTCAAAGAATTTAATTCCATGCAGAACTCTGGTTGCCATGGCAACCGAAAGAAAAAACTTTAAATATCTTCTTTTAAAAAACCCTAAGAGCTAGAGCTTAGATATTTGGCATGAAACATCTTCTAATAAGTGTCTACAAAGTTTGTTCAAATAAAAGCCCTAGGGTCAAAATTGGCCCCGCCCCAGGGGGTCTTTGATTTTCCCTATATGCATATAGTAAAAACTTAAAAAATCTTCTTTTAAAGAACCCAAAGAGCTAGAGCTAAGATATTTAGCATGAAACATGTTCTAATAAGTGTCTACCAAGTTTGTTCAAAAAAAGCCCTAGGGTCAAAATTGGCCCCGCCCCAGGGGGTCTTTGATTTTCCCTATATGCATATAGTAAAAACTTAAAAAATCTTCTTTTAAAGAGCCCAAAGAGCTAGAGCTAAGAAATTTAGCATGAAACATGTTCTAATGAGTGTCTACCAAGTTTGTTCAAATAAAAGCCCTTGGGTCAAAATTGGCCCCGCCCCAGGGGGTCTTTGATTTTCCCTATATGCATATAGTAAAAACTTAAAAAATCTTCTTTTAAAGAACTCAAAGAGCTAGAGCTAAGATATTTAGCATGAAACATGTTCTAATGGGTGTCTACCAAGTTTGTTCAAATAAAAGCCCTGGGGTCAAAATTGGCCCCGCCCCGGGGGTCATTGATTTTCCTTATATGTGTATAGCAAAAACTAAAAAAAATCTTCTTTGAAAAAACCCAAATAGCTGGAGTTTAGATATTAAGCATGAAACATCTTCTAGTGAGTGTCTACAAAGTTTGTTCAAATAAAAGCCCTGGGGTCAAAATTGGCCTGTCCCGGGTGTCATTGATTTTCCTTATAATTATGTGTATAGTAAAAACTTAAAAATCTTCTTTGAAAAACCCAAATAGCTAGAGTTTAGATATTAAGCATGAAACATCTTCTAGTAAGTGTCTACAAAGTTTGTTCAAATAAAAGCCCTGGGGTCACAACTGGCCCGGCCCCAGGGGTGTCATTGTTTTTAACTATATGTGTATAGTAAAAACTTAAAAAATCTTCTTTTAAAAAACCCAATGAGCTAGCGCTTAAATGTTTAGCATGAAACATCTTCTTATGGGTGTCTACCAAGTTTGTTCAAATAAAAGCCCTTGGATTAAAATTGGCCCTGCCGGGTAGGGTAGAGAGGGGGAGGGGTAGATCGTTGTTTTTCATTATATGTGTGTAGTGAAAACTTAACATCACAAAACATCTTCTAATAGGTGTCTTCCAAGCCCTGAGGGTTTAAACTGGCCCCGTTCCGGGTGCCTTTATACAGGTGAGCGACCTCAGGGCCATCATGGCCCTCTTGTTTGATTAAACTTTGAAAATGTCTGGTATCATATTTACTATAAATTTTGGCATTATTTAGCAAATAATTATATAATTTAAATCAATCCCTTTTTTCTTTCATAAGGGATCAGAGAGATACATAAATAATGTTAAAAAGAAAAAAAAGAAAGAAAAAAAAGTTGCCTCTTCTGGGGTTTGAACCCACGCCCCTTAATTTCAATGTAGTTTGCAAGCAATTCTAGCCTATTTGAATACTCTTCAAAGTGGAGGTAATGCATTATCCATGGTCTACCTTAAGTTAGAATACTCTTCTTTTAGAAACAACTTTAAGTGACGTCATGACGTCATGTTCTTGCTTAGCGACGTCATGAGTATTATGTTCTGTTAAATGATTATTGTGCAGTCATAATATAGAGAATAATAGGTTGGTGCCGTGGATGGAGAAAGTTTATCTGGCGAGGCGGAGGAATTTATTGGGTGAGCCGAAGGCTGTCACCGTTTTTTTTAAAGAATTTTATTAGGCAAAGTACCTTTAATAACACTATCGGAAATGTTTCTATATAAATAAAGAAGGCCCGAAGCGTGCATTATTCTACAACAATGCACTGGCCGTTCTTATTATCTCCCTGTGTATTTTCACATTGAGGGCGCCATTTTGTTTGAAAAATGTGAGAAATAAAAACAATTTTTTGTCGAATTTTGTTGTGAAAACTATCTAGAATGAAAGAAAATGGTCTAACTAAGAAAATGAATTCGAACACCAATGTCTTTTATTCAGTCGTTAACGGTGTACAGACGTTTAAAGTATTGTTTACGTGACGTCACAATGTAGCGCCAAAGAGCACGTGCAAAACAATCAAATCAAGTACGCTATTTTAATGTCGCAAACGAGTTAAGTTTTACATTTATTTCACTTTTAATAATTTTTATTTTGCTTGAAAAATTATAGAGTGAAATAGAATAAACAAACAAAGTTTTATCGTTTCCAAAATTCGTTATTCTACACACAGAAGATTAAACGACAGTTTTTTTTTCATACCACTGGAACGGCCTGTAAAGAACGTTTCTATTGGAAACTCTGAGGCGAAAACAAATTTAACCACAAAAAATAAAGTCCAACATTATAATAATAATTATATTTTTTCTTGAAAAGTAGTCCGGCAAACATGCATACCACGTGATCAAGTGCCGTAGATCAGTAAAAATATACGGCACCTTGTTATCGGGCCGAAATTGATACAAGTGACAGAATAAAAAGTGTAAACTATGCAATGGTGTTGGCGCATTATATCTGGTGTAGGTGTTAACAAATCTCGTACTGTTTTTTTTTGTAATTAAATGAAGATTCTTTTGCTTTCTTTGGTTATTATGTATTTGACAATGTTAAGTTTTTTTCTAGGAATGGACCAGACTGGAAATCACGATTGAAGTACATTCCCCACCCAGAGTCAAATAAGTATCCTGCCATGGAAATCTTTGAAAATAATTGGAAAGCAATGAGGCCCTTCCCATGTAAGTATAAAATTAATCCCCCATATATTGGTTACTACATATTGTTATTTGCATACTTATTTAGTAAGTCATTATTTTCTTCATAATTTTATTTGCATACAATTTTAGAGTCAATATTTTCCTTTTATATCATTTTTTACATTATTATTTTAAATTACTGCATGTTTTTTGAAGTATTTATATACAATTCATTTTCAGCTTTTAGCCTTTGGTACTTACAACCTCATATCATGTCATCATGAAATTTTCTTATTTCTTTCATGCATAAACATTATTTATTAAAAAACAAAAATGTTTTGGTTTTATTCTATATTTAAAGGATATTTGTTATAGAAATTATCAAACCTTACATTTTTTTTTTGTCATAGTGAGAAAATGCATATTTATGCATCTTGTATTACTGACAGGAAGTGGCCTTTCAAGGTATAAAATGGTGGCCAGGGGCTCACTGTAGAATAATTAGATAATACAATACTGACTAGTGTTCACATGATTGTGTTTTATATGTTTTAATGTTTGAAAATAATAACTGTTTAAAAAAAAGAAAAAAGGTTTTGGCAATAATTTTTGTGGAAAAAGGTGTTTTTACATAATTTTAATTTTTTGACAATGAAAAGAAAACTCACTTATACATGTATAATAAACTTCAAATTCTTTCAATATATGCAAATTCAGCATGGCATCATATTTAGGACAAATTACCTTTATAGGGAAAGCATTGGATTAGTAACCCAAGGGTCACTGGTTTGAACCTCGGGCAAGGCAGTTTCTCACTGAAAACTGATCTTTATGGTTTTATGGTCATTATTTTCTGGTGGCTGATTCAAAAATCTTTTGGGATTTGTGCTCAGTCATTTGTGGAGAAATTGGTCATTTCTGAGGAGTTATCCAGAAAGCTGTTGGGACGGATGAGCCGCAGAATTTGTGTTAAATCAGCATAAAAACCAATAAAGAGGGGGAATTGGGAGATTGAGACCATATTCCAAACAAATTACAGTCATACAATTTTTTTCTTTCCTTCTCATCAGTCTGAGTATTTCTCATTTTCTTTATACATCATTTTCTTTATACATCATTTTCTTAATTCATGAAATAAAAGGTGGACCATCAAGGATGTACCAGGTTCTAAGTGGTATGTTCTTTATGTTTTATGCCACTCTTTGAATTCAGCTTTAAATATGCTTATAAAAGGTATTATTTATGTAAAAAAATATTTAAATACCATCAGAAATTTTTTAATTTTTTTAGTTGAGATATGTGTTTTTGTTAAGAGTCTGAGTAAGGAATATCTGGAAAAGCTAAATAGGAAAGAATATCTGTTGAAAATATTTCATTTCATGATTTATAGTAAATTCTTAAAGAAATAAAATTAGTCCTAGGTCTGTATAGAGGGCTTAATTCTATATATGATTATGAAACTGAATTTTCTAGTGTTTGTGCATTATTGCTGGAAAATATACAAAATATTTGGTCTTGTTCAAAGATTGGCATTTACAAAATGTGCTTGGTAAATGTTTTCATTGAATCATTTTTATATGTCTGAAAGTAAGTTTGGTAGTAATATTCATGGCATTGTGCTTGTACGTCTTTCTGTTCATCTGTCCTTGAGTCACATCAATGTCTGCTCAATTACTTAATATTTTGATAACAATTTAGTTTGCTGTCATCATAATTAAAATTTTCCTGGCCAGTAGATGAAACCTAATGATTTTGAGGTCAAAGGTCAAGGATGCAGTGACACTCATAAAAAGTGCTTTTCCTCTCAACAACTTTGGAATGAATAGCCTAGCTTTTGTGAAAAATAAGTACAGTAAGTAGAAGTAATCTATTGATTTTTCGGTAATTTGGTCAAAGGTCAAGGTCACACAAGTGTAGTTGATAGCCTTGTCTGCTCTATAACTTGAGAAGAAATAAGCTTAGGTTTGTAAAATTTGGTCTGGACATTGTCAATGGGCAGTAGGTCAATGACCACTATTGATTTTGAGGTAATGACCTCAGTCACAGGTTATAATCACATTTAGTTAATAATATTCTATGTCACTCACTAACATGAAAATAAATAAGCCTAGGTTTGTGTGAAACTTGGTAGGGACATAGCCCATGGCAAATTGATGGGCCCTTTTATTTTGACAATATAAAGTCTATTGTCAAGGTCACAATGGTACTTTAGTAAAATCCTTTACTGATCAATAACTTGTTATGGTTGATTTCTTTTATTTTTCAATGGAGTCTAAACACATTTTACTTTATACATTTTTCTGCATCGTACATCAGGCCTATAAATTACTCTTGTTGTTAGTCCTAAATTTTTGGTTTTACTTAATATAATACATTACAGGAACTTTTATAGTGTGCATACTATGGTTTTAACACTGTGTAATAATTTAATGTCTTTAATTAATTAATGTCATTTGGTGTTGTTTTTGTTCTTTTGGCAAATTTATTTAATGTGACTTGTATTTGTTTAACCAAAGTTTGTTTACGGGGTAAAGAAATTATTAACATAATTTATAAGTTAATTAAATACTGTCTTTTCTTGTAGTCTTTTTTTGGGGGCACAAGATAATAGGCTCCAATTCCAATGGCATGAAGTATGCTTTAACCAAATTGTAAGGTCAAGGACAAACCAAAGTTACATAAAATCTTAATTTTATTCTCAAAGGTTGACATTCTCTAATTTTTAAAATTCAAAAGTATATTTTCACTTTATATTATCACTGTCCAATGTCCATAACTCCTCCATGGATTTTAACAGAATTATGGCCCTTTTTAAACTTTGAAAATTCTACATTATCCAGGCTCTTGTTTTCCTATCAAGAACTGAGAATAGTCAAACATGCTGTCCTATCAATAGCTCTTGTTAAATTGCTTCAATTTTAGTTATCAACAGTATATACTTCAGTCATTCTGACATTAGATGTGTATCATCATCACTGACATGTGGGATGGAACTATTGTGACATGTTTGTGCCATTCCATGAAATGAGGGACATGGTCCCCAAGTAAAATAATGCTTGTGCCCTAAAGACAAGATATTAAAATGATGAAAAATAAATAACTCATCTGCTGACTGTAGTTCATCAAACTATCCATTAATTGTTTTCTGTCTAAAAGTCGTGTAGATTCTAAATCCTGCAATATTCATTATCAATAATTGATATAATAGATAGATTTACTCATTGTTTTGAAATCTGAAAATGTATTTCTATCCACAGGTATATGTTTAGGTTAGTAAAAACAAAACAAAGTGGTCAGCTGTTGACTGAACTATATATTTATGTCTCCCCCACCTCGGGGGGAGACATATTGTTTTTGCCCTGTCCGTCCGTCAGTCCGTCCGTCAGTCCGTCCGTCCGTCAGTCCGTCCGTCCGTCCGTCCATTCTTCGTTTCCGGACGATAACTAGAGTTCCTTTTGACCTACAGCTCTCAAACTTCATAGGATGAATGGTCTTATTGAGCAGATGATCCCTATTGTTTTTGGGGTCAGTAGTTCAAAGGTCAAGGTCACAGTGACCGTTGGTCAATTTCTCGTTTCCGGATGATAACTAGAGTTCCTTTTGACCTACAGCCCTCAAACTTCATAGGATGATTGGTCTTATAGAGCTGATGATCCCTATTGTTTTTGGGGTCAGTAGGTCAAAGGTCAAGGTAACACTGACCGTTGGTCAATTTCTCGTTTCCGGATGATAACTAGAGTTCCTTTAGACCTACAGACCTCAAACTTCATAGGATGATTGGTCTTATTGAGCAGATGATCCCTATTGTTTTTGGGGTCAGTAGGTCAAAGGTCAAGGTAACACTGACCGTTGGTCAATTTCTCGTTTCCGGATGATAACTAGAGTTCCTTTAGACCTACAGACCTCAAACTTCATAGGATGATTGGTCTTATTGAGCAGATGATCCCTATTGTTTTTGGGGTCAGTAGTTCAAAGGTCAAGGTCACAGTGACCGTTGGTCAATTTCTCGTTTCCGGATGATAACTAGAGTTCCTTTTGACCTACAGCCCTCAAACTTCATAGGATGATTGGTCTTATAGAGCAGATGATCCCTATTGTTTTTGGGGTCAGTAGGTCAAAGGTCAAGGTCACAGTGACCGTTGGTCAATTTCTCATTTCCGGATGATAACTAGAGTTCCTTTTGACCTACAACCCTCAAACTTCATAGGATGATTGGTCTTATTAATCAAATGATCCCTATTGTTTTAATGGTCAGTAGGTCAAAGGTCAAGGTCACAGCGACCGTTGGTTAATTTCTCCTTTCCGGATGATAACTAGAGTTCCTTTAGACCTACAACCCTCAAACTTCATAGGATGATTGGTCTTATTGAGCAGATGATCCCTCTTGTTTATGGGGTCAGTAGGTCAAAGGTTAAGGTCACAGTGACCATTGGTCATTTTCTCATTTCCGGATGATAACTAGAGTTCTTATCAGTGAGGACATTTAACTATTATTGATATATCAGTGATATATCAGTTGTCTGGTTTTATATACTCTGTTCTTTTATCTCCATTTCCATTCCTGTTTCCATTCACAGTTATTCTCAGCAGTGGGGGAGACATGCGCTTTTTTACAAAAGCATCCTCTAGTTAAAAATTAAATTTTTATATTTGGTTCCTTTCCATAATATGAAGTAGAATGAATTATATAGTGAAGTTTTTATTCAGTCATTTGCTGATTGCTACAAAAAAGAGAGAGGCTCAGCCATAGATGCATGCCAATAAAACTCCTCAGTAGTTGAAAGAATAGTTTATATCTGAGAAAAAACATTTCAGACAATGATGCTATGTCCAGTATGTAAATTTATCGAAGAAATGAAAATATTGAACAACAGTAGTATTATTCAATTTGAATTAAAGGTTTTTTCAGTTTCCTTCAATGTATTTATAGTCATATTTGTATTAACCCTTACCCCGCTAGAATGAAAAGTGATTGATTTTGATACACTAAGTATAGTTGAAGCAGTAGAAAAATATCGTTTTTCTCCAGTTCTTACATTTTTCATTCATGCTCAAATAAAAATTGGTGTGAACAGATGAATTAGACAGTTTAATGTGAATTTCAGTTGATATTAGCATTTAATCATTTAAGCACCCTGTCTGATATATACCGGAATACGTTATTTTAGTGTGGTGCACCAACACTTTTTTAGTCTCACTTAAAGTGATTATTCTTTACATCATGCACATCCGTGTAGTCTAGCCAACCTCTATATTGTTGGCTGAACAGCCTCAAATTTTCATCTTGATATCCCCAAAATTGATAATAGACATTCTTTAAATATAACTAAATAATTTCATATAAGAAATTCAGTAGCTTGAAAGGGAGCTGTTTGCATTGTTCATGTTGTTTTTTAAAAGAAGCCAGGTAATTTTGAACAATTTGTGTCGTTTATTAAAAGTGATGTAATAAGAACTTATCAATTGGTTTATTAAAAGGTAGATAAGTAGAAATGTTCATGTTAATTCTTAAAGTGTGCGTGTGTGGATGGGGGGAGGGGTGTGTGAAAAGAGTGATAATTATAATTTTGATTATATCTATTAAAAGGAATTTAAATTGATTAAATATGCTCCTGTTAATTGTAACTTAAAAAGCATTTAGTTCAGCCTTTATATAATAATCTTTTAATGCTTAAAATAGATTCTCTTAATTGTATTTTACATTTTACACCTTTTGTAAATTTAGTGCAGTCACGTTGAATGCAAGTTATTGAGAGTGATTGTATTTACAAAGTGAAAACTCTATGTATAGGAGGATATAATAATACGTAATTATCACTACATGAATACTATATACTATCATGAAAAAAATATATATTAGGTTTTTTTGTATAGCTGACAGCATTTTGTAATCTGATATGTTAGAATGTCAAATAAAGATAAGACGTATTGTCTCAAAGGTTGGTTAATTTAAACAAGGTCTTTTTGTCTGACTAGTTGGAGACCACGGGGTCAGTTTAAGATACCATTGTCAGACTATTGTAAGACTTTATTTGTCAGGTATTCAAACCTGTCGGAATCAGTGTACAAGTTTTATTTGTATACTAGGTATGCATGAATTAGAATAGACCTGAAGTTTGAAATATTTTAGAAAACTTTGTTTATACAGACTTTGCATGCATAATTTAGTTGAAATACAGCATTTATAATAGCAGGAAAATATATCTGTTTATTTATTGTGTTGGTGTGTATGTAGTCAAAACCATATATTAACATTAGTGATAAATGAAAGGAATAAGTAGATAAATAGCTATACAATATCTTATAGCTATATAAAATCTATCAGAAAATATTCATGTGCAATCAAATAATTACATTTTTGTATTACAGAAGATTTAATATTAAGGAATATAATTTGTATAGTGTGCTTTATACTATAGGCTGCTGCAAAACTTTGTGATGATATAAATGAAGTGATCTTTGATATGGATTTTGAGGAAAATGTTAAAAAAAATTGAAGAAAAAACTTATTCCTTTTATTTTGAAAAATGTGATTTTGTTGTCAATAACAGCAAAATAAAAATGGACATTATTTTGGACAGGCTTTTTATAAAAAAGAAAAAAAAATTATGGAAAATCTGTTTAAAATGATAATTTATATACACAGTTTTACTTACTAAAGTAATTTGTCAGTGCTCTATTCTCAACATTAAGGGATTTTTAAAATTGATTTTGAAACTTTTCATAGTCAAACATGCATGTTGTTTTGGCCTTAACTAAAATTATGTTGAGTTGATTTATATTATATCTTTCTTGATACTAGAAATTTTCAGCCATGGTAAAATATCTATGTGAAATCTATATAACTTGTGGTAATAATTTTTTTATGAGCTTCACATTACAACATATTTTGTACATTGCTTTACACTAAACAAACACTTTCCTCAATTCATATATTAGAGGGTTAATGCACCTTTTTTCTCAGTGAATTAATATTTGCAGAAGCAGAAGTAAGCCTGAGCCCACAGGGCAAAGGATTTAGTAATTTGGAGGGCTTCTGCACATGTAATTACACAAAAAAGTTGCATTAACATTCTTGCAGTCTTGCATAAAAAAATACATCAAAGCAGTAATTCTGCTTTTTGTAATCTGTATCTCACCCTGAGTCATGCTATATTAAAAAAAACAACAGCAATGGCACAATTGGTAGAGAGAATCTATCCAATATTGCATGTTTTCTTTTCTGTATACCCACATGCACAGTTTTTATGCAAGAATAAAAATTAATGCACAACCATGCTTCATCATCTTATATTTTCATAACTATAATTTATTCATTTTAATATTTTATCACATTATAGCACCTTTATGATCTTAATAATTGTAAGCAACATCAATTAAAGAAGTTTAAATCTAAAAATTGAAATATTGCAAAACAATAATTTATTGACTTGTATTACTAGATACCTATATGAAGACAGAAAGGGAGTGGTTATTGGACCCCGGCTTGTCAAACAGAGGTATGAAGTGCAGTTTTAACGGTGAGCACATGGCTACACGGACATCTCAAGATGAGATAACTCACACAATGTTGTTTGGTAGAGGAAGAACAGGTAAATATAGCGATCTTCAGTATTTTTATACTACTGTAACATAAAATTAAATAAATCATATTATATAGGTTTTACAGGCATTTTTATTTTATTTACCTTAAATACTTTTGATGACAGACATAAAGACAATTGGTCAGTTTTCTCTCAATACTGATTGAGAATTTATCATGTGGGGTTAGCAGAAATGTTAAACTTATGTGGTTTAAATAATAGTACATTATAATGAATAATAGTATATATCACTAAGGGTAAAATGATTTAGTAAAGAAAGGGTTTGCCTCTCAACCACGGGATAATAGGATTGAGCCTTATCAGGGTCACAACCAAGTTGTCTTATATGACACAAGAATAATGGATTCAGGAAGCAGACTCATATATTGCTCAAATTTGATATGCTCAAGGTTTTATCTTTATTAAACTAAAATGCACAATATGTCATGTAAAAACTGAAATAGCATGGTGACAGACTTTATGGATTATTAACTGACTATACTTTTATAGACCCATATGTCTTTAACTGCTACAGCTAGTGATGACGTGAGAGTTAATATTTAATTAATTAATTGATTATTTTATTCAATTAAGTTAATTGGATAGACAAGAGGAATGGTATTGGGGAAAGTTCTCCTGGAGATAAACCTTATAAAACACCAGAGTATTCAAACAAATTTCACAAACTTGGATCATCATTGCCCGTCATAGACTTTGGGTAAGTGTTTCACAAATGTCAAAATTTTGAAAAAAAATTTACGGTTTGCATTTATCTAAAATTTATATCCATTTGTAATGCGTACAAATATTTTTTACTTAAGATGTTAGGTTATTTATGGTTATATTTAATAATAGTTTTATAGTTTTACAGAATTTTATAAATTGTAGTGTTATGGTGAGCGGTGGCTTAGTGGTAAAGGTGTTTCCCTCTCAAGCGGGGATCATAGGTTTGAGCCCCTACTGGGGTCACAACCATGTTTTTCCTCATATTACACCAGTACTGGTTACAATGATTAGATCCACTGTAAACAAATTTAAAAATGATTCAAATTAGCTTCAACCTTTATCATAATTCCAGCCTAAATACAAATAAATAGATTTTCATAATTTTTTATAAGATTAATTATATTTGAATGGTTCCTAAGGTGATGTTTTTGCTGGTTAACTTTTTACCAAGACATTGTGATTTTTTTTTTTATGAATTAAAACTGTTTATTGAAGTTTTATATATTAAGAATGTAAGATTTTAACATAAAAATGTTTGTAGTCCTTTAGTAAAATTCTTAATAAATAATGCTATTAGGCTAGGTAACCTACAAAGGTTTTTATTGACCTATTGTCCACAAATATTAATGTACGGACATTTTCGTACAGTTCTGTAAATTGTTTATTTCTTTGGCTAAAATAACCTAGTTCTGTCATTATCAAACAATTATATGTCATAAAATTAATGCTTTAATTGTTCAAAAACATTTTAATAAATGGAAAGACATTTTATTATATGCAATGCTTCATTAGGTTTGAAAAATAAATACAATACCTTTGCTTTATGCTAGCTATTTATCAGATGTAAAATTATTCAAAACAAACCCAAATTCCAGTTTTGTAGTACATAATATATAGTTAGAGAATAGGACTTTTTCAGATAAAATTTGTGAAATTTTTAAAACAAGGAATGTTTAACTAATTTGGTAAAAAAATGTCAGGGAATGAGTGGTTTAAAGTTAAAAATACAAGAATGTTATATAGATGTTCAAGGTAGATTATGTCTTTATATTTTTTAAAAATATTCTATGTTTAGAGTGAAAAATATCAAATATACCTCATTAAGATAACAGATTGTGGTTAGGTCAGTTGATAAAATTAATGTAGCTATCTTTAATAGTAAATGATTGTATGTGATGTAAGTATTTCATAATTTACGTTTTCATTTGTGAATACTTGAGGCTATAGGTTGAAAAGTGGCTAGGATGTCTGCCGTTCAAACCGGGGATCATGGGTTCGAGCCCTACAGTTGTCATCATCACATTTTCTTTTATGAAACTAGTACTCGTTATTAATCCAGGAAGTGAACTTGAAAGTAGTTAAAGCGCCTATGGATTTTGTCACAATATGTTTAAAATGAATTATGTAAAAGTTATAAATGTTAATTAATGTAAATGTATATTACAATAGAAATTACATAACCGCTAGTTTAACAGAAGCATTCTTTTAAAGTTTGAATTCATTAAAGAATTTTTTTTTTATCTGATTTTAATTATTAAAGATGACTAAACAATAACCAAGATGACTGTAAGTATTTTATATCAAACATGTTACTCAAGTTTTAGAATTATTTATTTTTACCTGTGAAAAATGTTGAAAGTTATGTATTCACATTTTGTACAGTTTGTATATTTTGCATGATGTGTAGTTGAAATTTGAAGAAATGTATACAGTTTTAGTTTATTTCATTTAAAAGAAAATGTTATCTTTACCCTTAGCATGCTGGTACTGATTGGCCTCATCCACAAGTATGGAGCCAGGCCGAACGTCCATGCCTTATGACCAGGCTCTATACTGTTGGTAGCTTTAATTTTGTATTTTGATGTTAAAGTAGGGCAGATCCAGTACATCAAGTCAACAGGTTGTGGATTAATAATGATTGATATGGGTACATGTTAGCTCTGAAGGAAGAACTTTTTTATGAATGTTTGATGGACTGTCATAGTTTAACTTTTTTTTTTTTTTGGTATGAAAATGTATTGATGAACTTCAAATATCTGTGTAAATTTTAAACATTCAATGGCTTATACAACTCAGTGGTATTAAAAATCTTAATCAAAGAATAAAACATTATTATACAATACATAACTCATATTACTTTGTAATTTTGCTTTGTGTAATTTTCTTATAGTTACAAGTTTTTTTAGACTATGAAGTAATAATAAGCTTTTCTTAAATTTTTTGTCAGACTTAAAATTAATTCATCAAACAACTTTGTTTCAATTAAAGATTTATAAGGCCACCTATTGTTAGACGGAACGAGGAAGAGTGTCCTAAACTCCTGGACACTCCAGTTATCTTAAGGTAGCACAATGCATGTGGCATGCTAAATGCACGGAGCTGCATGGCAATATGTAAACATATAATTGCTTTCAAACTGATATATGTATATAATTTGTGAAGAAATGTAAGCAACTTCCTCACAATTGCGCAACTTTTATAAATGCATGGCATTTAAAAAAGCTGAATTTTTGCATGGCTTTTAAATAAATCGGAAATCTAAATAATTTATTCCAACATTAATAATCTGACTTTTGCTGATTGAGATGTTTGCATGTTTTAATATTTGCATATTAGACACTTTTATTTATTTTATCTTCAATATTTGCTCTTTATTACAGTAATATTTGTCATGTCATAACATTGTAACCGAGCATTACTGAATTATATCTTAAATTATAAGAAGTTTTTGAAGTTAAAATTTAAAGTATTTTAATAAAATGACAATTATTAACATCTGTGGAGAGCATGACTGTAATGATTTTATAGTTATTAACAAATGTAAACAATTTTCCTTCAGTTATGTACCAGAAGAGTATGTAATTTATGAGTTATTCCCCTTGGTTTTATGTTTATTTTAAATTGAGTGACGCAATATATGTATAACAGTTTAGTATATTTTAACTTACATTGTTAACAGACATCTAGCACAGTTGTTTTACATTTATAGTGTAGTACTACTTTATTATGAAACAAAACAACAACAAAAAACAACAGATTAATTCTACTAAATCTTAATTCCCCAGATACGGTTGTTACTTCTGAGAACTTGCATTAAATTTTCAGTCGCATGAGTTCTGATTCTGTAAGATACATTAACCTGGGTTCTATGAAAATTTGTACATACCGTAGTTTGCAGTAAAGGGATTACTTTAATAATTAAAAGTAGCACTTAGTACCTCCAATTTCAGTACTATTTTGTAGGCAATTTACCTTTACCAATTACCAATATACCAGTTTCCCTTATTACATATTACATTTAAATATCCATATAATAAATCCAAATAGAAACTTTACACATGGAAATTTTAGAGTTAACTATTTTATGTTATATTTTATTATATTTTATACATGTTTATTATTAATTTGAAAGAAGTCTTATCTATCTAGAATTTGATTGGTTACATATGATAAATGTATCAACCAATTGCAACATTGCTTGTTTATTCAGAACATAAGAAATTAATTTTATTGAAATTGACCATTTGCAACATTGGCCATTATAAAACTCAACTTTGACCCTTAATAGATGGATTTAGTTGAATATCACAGATCTATCTTTTAAAGTAACAGAATATTGTTGTACATGTATTAACAAACCAGTCTTTCTACTTTCCCGATGCATCACAAGTAATGAGAATTTTGTTTGTGTTTGTCTTTTCCAGTTTGTTTGTTGCTTGTTAATACATTTATATATACATGATATATAACCAGATATTTTACTTTGGTGTTGTTTTGTTAACATCGATTGTAATACTATTATATTTGAGCCACACCATGATAAAACCAACATACTGCGTTTTCGACCAGCATGGATCGAGATCCGCGCAGTCTGATCAGGATCCATGCTGTTAGCTATCAGTATCTCTACTTGTAATAGGGTTTGTAAGTTACTTGTAATAGGGTTTGTAAGCGAACAGCATAGATCCAGATCAGACTGCGTGGATGCTGGTCACAAATGCACAATGTTGGTTTTGTCATGGCACGGCTCATTTGGATTACCTTTGTTGTTATGTTGATGTGATCTAACCAGTGAGTGTTGTTTTTTTGTGTGTGATCTTGCAGCGCTAACAGTCCATGGAAGAAAGGTCCAGACACGTTTGTACCTTTACAGCCGTTACCATCTGAACCAAGGTAAAAATAGTTAATGTAGGGTTTCAAAGTCTTTAAAAATAAGTATTTGGATATTGCAGTTAAATTTGAGAAATAGAATGTTAGCTTTCAGTGATAGAAGATAGTCTTAATTTGGAGGTGATCTTTTATTGTTGGTGGTATTTCAGAAAATTTTTATTGTGATTTTGTTACCATTCTGGCATTTAAAAAAATCTTAATTCTTCATTTTTGTAAAGGTTTTTAGGAAGTTGTGGGGTGGGATGGAGTTTGCAGTCAAGCATTAAAGGGCTGATTTTTTATTCTTGTGCATTTGTCGCTTTTCTTAAGACATATAAGATTATAAAAGTACAGAGTTGCAAAAGAAATTTGCCAGGCAAATACATGTTAAACAATTTACAATAAATAATTTAGGTGTTGTTATAAGATTTGAAAACCATATCAGAATTAAATAAATACTTCTTTCACAATGGTAGAAAAATAGGGAAGTCATTATGATAGTTGTTTTATGTGACAGTATAAGAATAACAACAAAATGCACATATCATTAGCTTGATTTTTGACACAAAGATGACATGATTTATAGTTTGTTAATTAATTGTGTCATTTGATAAATGTACTAGTATTTTTACCTAAGGTTTTATTTTTTACAGTACATAAGTACCTTTACACAGTTTGCTAGGTCAACTGTCCAGTCTCATATTAATCATGGATATTATATAAGTGTTAAACATACCATAATTGAGCAGTGTCACGACAAAACCAACATAATGGGTTTGCGACCAGCATGGATCCAGACCAGCCTGCGCATCAGCGCAGTCTGATCAGGATCCATGCTGTTCGCTATCAGTTTCTCTACTTGATATAGGGTTTGTAAGCGAACAGCATGGATCCTGATCAGAATGCATGGATGCGCAGGCTGGTCTGGATCCATGCTGGTCGCAAACCCATTATGTTGGTTTTGTTGTGACGCGGCTCATATATTTGTCACAGTAAATACTGTAGACATTAGATGTAAGTAGGACATTTGGTTATATAAAGAAATACATTACACCTTGATTTGGCTATATAACCTTGATTGATGACAATCAGACATGTGTTTCTGAATAATTTTTATTGTTTATGTACAAGGCCTTTTATAATACAGAACATTTACGTAACATTGTTTTCATTGGATAATCTATGATGTTGCATAAACTACATAGAGGATATTTGTTTAGTTCAGTGTAAGATCGGAATATATTTCACCGAGTGAGCACCAAAAGGTATATTTCACGAGTGGCGCAGCCACGAGTGAAATATGAACTGTTGGTGTTCACAAGGTGAAATATATTTCGATCTTACACTAAACTAAACAAATTTTCTTTTTATTACATGCAAAGAAACGTTTTAAAAAGACACTAAACCTAATATTGAATGAAAAGCGCGCCGAATTATAATACAACGTGACGTCATTTACGACGTCACGTCATTAAGTTGGTACCCAGTTCTGTGCACGCTGGTATTTCACTGAAACAACGTGAGGGGCTTAAATTCAAAACAGTGAAATTATCAAAGTGGTAATTTCACTGTTTCAAACAGTGAAATTACCAGTTTTATATCACTGATATATTTCTATAAACCACCGAAAAGCATGTAATAAAAATGTATATACATGGCTTCTGGGAAATTATAAAGTACTTTTATGTTTTCCTCTAAAAAATGAAGTTTGCTATATTATAAATTTGTTAAAAGATTCTTGACAGGTTATATGGCCATATATATATGGTTATTTGCGATTGCCGTATGACTTAGGTTATTATATAAACATCTGTTTATATAGGGCAATTATGACTTGTCCAAAATGTTTTTAACCTAATAATAATTAATGGGACTCTCCATGATAAGAGAAGAACAAAAGAGATTTTTTTAAGTTTTACTTTTTACTTTTAATTACTTGTGCTTTTTATCTCAAAATATATATATTGCAAAGTTTTCAAAGTATAATGAATGTTAATTACTGATACTGCTTTTATCAATATAATTATCAGTAAATGCTTTATTATAATTCATTGTTAGCATTGATACGATTTAGATACAAGAATTAAAACTGTTTCACTACTTGAAAGCTCAAACATATTAAACATTACATACACAAAAAGCATTTAATAAATTGTTTGTTTTAAGGATGAAAATTGCAAATTACAAAAGAAGAAAGTAAAAGTTTTGAAAGAACAAAGTGAATTATGAAGTTGTAACATACTTCAAGATTTACCTAGTGATATAATTTCAATGATTATTTTTCAGAGAGCCGTTTAGAGTGAAGGCACGTCGTGAAGAAAAAGAGCTGGAGAAGAAGACAGTTAGAGCTTTAGATGAATGGAGACCTGCAACGCCATTAAAACCCGAGAGAGTTGATGAGAAAAAATAAATCATCACAAGTTATAATTGTTACATATAGAAACCTGGGGCACTTATAGAACATTAAACTGCTGCAAGAAGAAACAAGAATAAAGGAACTAAGTATTAAGTTGAAAATGCTACAAATATAGTATATATAATCTGAAACTTACTATCCGAAACTTCAGGGTCAGTTTTGGCCAATACATACATTTGAACATTTTTCGATGTTTTCTTCAAAAAAGGGAGATTTTAGAATTTGCAAAAAACAAAGAAGAAAGTTATGATATCAAAAAGAGGAAGATTTCTTTAATTTGTGTAAATACCTCTTATTTTAAAAATATTGTTGCAGAAAGTGGGAGTCTCCCGCTAAAAGTGGGAGAGTTCACATGTATGCCAATAATTAATAAAATATGATGAGGTTTTATGATATGTGACCTGAAACATCATTTTGTTAGGTACTTCTTTCTGGTAGTTTTGTCATCTTTGGATTCAGAAATTTGTATTAAAAAGAAAATGTCATGTTGACAATTATCATCATACTTATAAACTTTATCTAATATTGATAATAGCTTTTATTTGAATAGAATCATTGGAAAGCTAGTTACTTAAGATTTGTTATTTTCATTTTTAAGAAAAGACAAAGTGATTTCATGTATGTCACACAATTCTTTCTTCACTTAAGTGTTTTTATTTCTGGTGCTTTTGTGAAAAGGGTATTGCCTACTAAGTATTTTAACCCCTTCCTATTTACTTATTGTAATTTGAATATACTAGATGTTTCTGGTCATATTCTGTGATGATATAAATGATGTGTTTTTGTATTTGATTTAATTTTATGACCTTTAAAAGGACTAATTGTTTGTTAAAAGTTCATATAATGTATGTTTTGTTAAAGTCTATAGAATAATTGAATTGATAGTTAATCTGTTGAATTTAACACTAGGTAAATCTAGAGGTTAATGAAGATTTGTGATACTTAGATTTAATTGTTGATACATCTTTATATTTAATAAGTGAATGAACAGTGTGTGCTCTTAACTGAAACATAAAAAAGTAACTTGATTGGACAGGCTAAATTGATTTGACACCAAGTTAAGAGTATTGACATCATGCAAGCCAAAAGTATTGAAACCATTGACGCCATTTGAAATGTATTAACTGACTTAAAGTAAAAGTTCTATGCCATGTCAAAAGTATTGTCATTTACAAGTCAAAATATACATGTATAATAGAATTTGCCTGTGTTTCAAGTATAGAGGTATACCATAATGGATGTCAATACAAAAAAAAACATGCACTATACAGTTGAACATTATCATTCTTATATTTTAATGTTTCATTTTCAATTCACAATACTTCAGTTATTCAAAATCAGTATGGAAAGAAAAGCCCAAACATTTTTGGAACATTAGAAACATAATAATACATATATGTATTAATGTATTCCTATACACGTTTTGTCCACATCTTTGTTCTTATAGTGTTAAAACTGCCATCATAATGCCTATATCTGTGATAATGTATTTCTAAATTTAGTGATTGGTGATACAAACATGTTTTTATGTTATCATATTTTTTTACTGATAATGTTTTAACTGTTCTGTAGATTATGTATTGAATGAGCAATTAAAGTTTATGGATGATTTGATTCTTTTGTGACAATTGAATTCTAACAGTAAGTTTTCTTTCAAATATTTACTTCATATGAACTATTGTTTTTTATAAGAGTTTATATGAACTACTGTTTATTATAGTTTATATGAACTATCTTATGTTAATTCTTAAGATTTATATTTTATTAATGTGCTCTGCCTCTGGGAAGATGGTAAATGGGACTGGAATGATTATTGTTTAATTTAGAATGTTGCCCCGTCACATGGTTTATCAACTTTATGCTAAATTTAAATGACAGAATTTTCTCTAGTTTAAAAACTAATTTTATGTTTCCCCAGAAAGTAACAACTAGTTTCAAGAAAGATTTTACCTCAGACACGATTTATTATTACTAGTTGGCACCTTGTCACATGACTTTTATAATAATTAACCTGCAAAAATATGCATATTTATTTATAAGGTTATATTTTAATAAATAAATGTATTTTAATAGAAGTGTTAATTCTATTTATAGATGTTATGTTAACTTTAGTAACAATGTGATACATACAGTATTATTGTAAAACTTTGCCTTATATGTACAGAGATTTTTGTTATTTTAATATTTATAAATTCATTGTTACTTAGTTAAGAGCATTATACATTATTTACATATCATATATCAGTTTTTTATATACATGTGATAGTCTACTCTTTAATTTCTTTGCTCAAGTAATAAAAAAAGCTTGTTTTCCCGAAAAGTCTGTGTTTTTATAATCAATTCACAAAAGGTTTATATAATCAACAGTCAAATGCTTTTTGCATCGGTATGCAAGTCTTCAAAAGATTGTTGCACCTCTGCCACCAGTATAGATTCATGCCAGCTTGTATATTTACCTCTATCGTGGTGGTGTTAGTAGCTTTCACTCTCGATCACGGCAGTAAGCCACATTGAATTTACCAGAGGACAGTTCAGTCCAGACAGGCTGTCCAGCAGTTTCACCACTACTAGTTGCCTCCACTTTCGCAAGGAACTGAAACTTTTGTACATGACAGAGCAGAGGTACAGTGCGAATGACCGTAGAAAAGATTTCATGATCAATCGCAACGAAAGTGACATGCATTGTCTGGGAATCGAACTCGGGGTCGCTCGAGTCACAGTCCAACGCTCTACCTATCGAGCTAACAGGACGGTCTTAGGCAGACTATCGGTATATCCATGGCTATTCTATTTTAGTATTTTTCGACAGAAATCCTTTAAAACGTCTAATCACGGATTTATATTATGTAATATAAATCCGTGGTCTAATGCACTGCGCATAATTTGAAGCAGACGAGTCTGCAGTAGTGCATGGGTTAATTCAGTAATTAACAGGAGCCAAATTCATAAACATGTATAAGCTTTAGTATATATAGTACTTCAATGGTAACTGCGTCGGTGGTCTTACTGATGTGCCGATTGTGCCTTTCTCAATACTAAAGCTTGAAAGTCGACAATTGGCCATTTTAGTATCGGTGTGGCTTAAAAGCCCATAAAAAAGCAACAAACAAAATGACTCGGGGGAGGGGGGGGGGGGTCTTCATAATATACCCATGTATATTGTTGCAGTCACAACTGAAAAGTTCAACATTGAAAGAAACGTGCACACGTCTTCAACAACTTAACTTATAGACGCGACGTCAACAGCATTTCCTGTAAATTGTGTTTAAGTCACTCAATGGTTTCGATACACTATAATATAGATTGCATAGGGATTTTTCGAAGGTCAATGTGAAATACCCGTTTTGTATAATCTATTTTTATATTATTTTAAAGGAAACAAAGTTATATTTAAACTGTTTGTATGTGATTGAAAAAAAAAAACATTTCAAAAATCGTGACAGAAAATTACGATTTTCCAATACACTGGATGGTATTCTGACTTAAGTTCAGATCGTCTTATGTTAACCTATTTATAGCATTATTTAGAAGCTGATTTTAATCAAATTAACTGGGTGGCATATGCGCGAAGGCATCGTTAATTGTAATAATAATTGTTAGGAAATACTCAATTTTTTTATTACTTGTGCGTATTAGATAAGAGGAACATTTTTTTGCTAAAGCCCTCTCCATATATATGACCACAATAATATCGGGGACAAAGTGATTGTATTTTTTATTGCCTTTTGTAGTGTATATTTGGCGATGTGTAGCTTGTGGCTGAGCGGTTAAGGTCGTCCAATTCAAACAACATGCTTCTAACCGCTGTGGGTCCGAATGCCGCGATGGACTTTAAAATCTTTTATAAGAGGAAGCCATCCGGCTATCATAGGAACGACAGTGGTTCTACACACAGGTGCACCCGCCAGAGATAATGCACAGAGCGACAGCAGACGTCTTTCTTCACCAATAACGCGGGAAAGTCGCCATAATTTTTATGACACCATTATAGTGTAGCTGTGACTTTAAAATCTTTACACTCCTTAAAAATGAAATTCTGTTATAAATATTGGTATGTAGACCCACAGAAAAATATAAGGGTAGACAGAGCTTTGTATATTGGCTCGTAGGATGCATGTGGGAATTAGACAGGTGCAACGGGTGTAAAATATAATATGTACCAAGTGTGCAGGATTTAAAAGTGAAATAAAACAAAATAATACCACTTCAAATACTTTTATTTGCCAGTTAAGCAAATACATATTTACACATATTTCTCGAAAGTTGTATTAGAATTAAACGTGTAAAATGATTAAAGAACTTGTCATAGTCCGTTTTGATATAACCTTATTAAAATATAGGGGTGTTCAAAAATAATTTACAAAGGGTACATGTTCACTGTGTATAGATATTATTAGTCTTTTCTTCATTAACGAACATTTAATAAAGCAAAAATAATATTTCTGTCTTAAGAAAAAAAAAATGAGCTTGTTGAGTATGAAAACAGACTTCAAAATTATATAAAACGAAATAAAATTGTTGTCAAGGCCATACTATACGTACAACAAGTACCTATAATGGCATGTCAAGAGTAAAATGAAAATTCCGCGCATCACGTGGATATCTATCTATGTGTATGAGTAATCGGGTTTTAGTAAGCTTGTTGCCCATCAAAAATTTAGCACAATTTTAAAATTATTCTTAGAATTGACATTGTTCAGTCATGCGAGTTCTTAACTGGCAGAAGAAATGTTATATGTCTAATTGAAAACATTCTGGTATTAACCCATTTTTATATATGTTAATAGCTCTGTTTCTTTTATTTTTTTTTCAAATTTTATCTTAAAATTACTTTAACAAAAATAAATACATAAATAGTAAAAAGAAAATAGAAGACACAATCGCAGAAGTTTAGATTTGTTAACGTACGTGGCCTTTGTTCTTTATTAAGAGCAAAGAAATACAGAAAAGTAAAGTCTATGAGCTAAGAGTTTGGATGTTTATCTATCGGACCATTATTTTTATATCTGTATCGATGCATTAAACATATTAAAGTGTGACTGGTTCAAATGCTCTATATGTTAATTCAGTATACACCAGCTTCAATTATTCTCCCGAAAACCCCATTTAAACTCAATGTCCTGTCCTCTTTGCTTTTTGTCCATCAAGATACCTATCATGCTTTTATCAAACTTATCAAATTATCAAATCTTGTGTTGATAGCGTTTTCTAACGTGTTTAAGATTCCAAGTTCTTTTTCTGACGTGTTTAAGATTCCAAGTTCTTTTTCTAACGTGTTTAAGATTCCAAGTTCTTTATCTAACGTGTTTAAGATTCCAATTTCTTGAAACATACAATCTTATAAAGAAAGTCTTTTACCATATATCACAAATGCTTATGTTTTTGAAGTGCTGTGTTATTTTAACATACACGGACACCAAACAATTTATAAATATATGTATATATATTACAAGACAAAACGATTAACAAACAAAATGAAAGATAAAATATGAAAAATCAACAAATCACTGCACATGTACATAGACATTCTTTTACGTTTTAAACTTTTTATACTATGTTATGTTGTTCAACTTAAACACATTATAAGCTCTTGAAAGCTGGAAATCTGTGCAATGAAATAATGTATATACAAAACATACCCATAGTTCATTAAAAAAAAACTTCATACACTTAGCATGTGTGTTTACAATCGTCGCATTTTTTGCTATCTTTGTATCTATTAAAACATAAATGTAATGCTTCAAACAAAGGAAACCACCCATTTGGTGTTTATAAAAGCAAGCAGCACATCTTAGCTACCATAGGGCGGTGTATATAACGTGACATCTTTCTCACTGATATCAATATTTGTTCAATACAATAAAATAAAATGAAATGAAGTCAATAACGGAATTACATTCATCAAAACCGATAAAAAAATTAATTAAAAAATTCACTTCGAGTGTCTTTCTTAAACAAGTTTCCGATCAAAGTTTTTGGCAGTATAAAAAATTGCAAAAAACGACAATAGATATGTCTCGAAAACAGAGAGCTATTTATATTAAATGGCTGATTATGTATATCGCGACCATATGTTTAAATTAATCATAATTCAAAAATTAATACCAAGCAGTAGATCTGACTCACATTACACAGTGATTACATATTTTTTCAATTCATCATAAACAAATAAAAGACAACACAACTAAATGATATGTCATTTATAAAGTTAAAAAAACCAATGTGTACATGAATGAAATGTATATAACATTACTGCATTATTTTCTTAAATAATGCCACATAGCTACAGGTTTTCGTAACGACGTCATCATTTGATTCCAATGAGACAGTTCCGTACCGGAAGTGTTAGCACCCACGATCACGTGACCCAAAGATGGCGTCCGATTGTCCGGAAGTAGTTCAGCTACTGTAATCCGCAGTTGAACCGTCTGAAATACCAAATAATTTTTACATTTAACATTGTTCTGATTAAATTCTGTAACAAAATCTATATATATCTAGTTGTAACGGCAAAGGCAAAAAAAACGAACTTGTTCTTTCTCATTTCGACTGTGATATGCATGACCAATGATATTGTATGTATGGACTATCTGCAAGTCCACGATAAAGTCATGTGACCAGTCAGTTACAATGATTATTATAGATTATTACACTCACCGGGTTAAGAATCCTTTGAGGTTTTAAGACAAATATAAAACTGACAATTAGAGAAACAGTTAATGTATGACAGTAAAAGTACATCATAAACGGGACTTGACTTTTATTTTCTACAAATAAGGAACGTGATATTTTTTTAGATGTCCTAAATACAATGTATTGGGAATTCTCTAATTCTATGTTCAATAATCTTTGCATTTCTTGTGCTTTTCTTTTTGTAGTTTTGCTGTTCTGTCACCCCAGCTTTGAAATGTTTATTTATCGTTTAAATAATTCTTTACATCTATAAGGCTACTAAATTGACAGATTTTTGTTTCACATAAAACAGTCATGACACGTGTGAATTAGCTTTACCTAACTCATTAAAATGTTGTTATGTGACCAGTTGAAAAGTGCAAGCGCACCACATCCAGGCTAGTGAATACAGCAATTTATCACAACTTTGACGTTTGCATTGTCACCTTTATGATATAATAATATAAAATACGCGACAACATATGCATAAATATTATATTTTTTTTTATTAGCAATCCAAGGAAAAGAACCTACGTGTGTTATTTCGCAGTAAGCAGCAATGATGGTGTCCTTAAAAGTATTAGTTGGATTAACTATAATAGCATTTTGTAGAGAAGGTATATTTGAAATAATGAATTTATCATGATTTTTTATAGCTTTTTATACAAAAGGTATATATTCAAAATGATAAATGTATAATTATTTATAGCATTTTGTAGAAAATGTATATATTTAAATAATACATTTATCCGGAATTTTATAACATTTTGCAGAGATCTAAATGTATGCAAAATAGATAGTTCATCATATATATCTTTAAAATAATGAAATTATCATGAATTGTTATAGCATTTTGAAAAAATTCAAAGGTATATATGCAAAATAACGAATTCATTTAAAATTTATACAGCTTTTTGCATTTTTGAAAGGCTCTAAAGGTATGTATTCAAAATAAAGAATTTATCATGAATTTTTACAGCAATTTGCAGAGAAGGAAAACTAATTTTGATTTTTGTTTTTAATCTTAATAGCATTGTGCGAAGAAGGTATAAATTGATACATTGATTAATAAAAGTATGGTAAATTTAAATTGCATTGCACAAGAAAGATATACATAAAAAAAAACTAATAAAATAAAGTCATGTTCAAGAGACAGCCATTATGTAATGTTAATAAGAGACAAAAAAATTGAAAACAAATACTTAGTGTTTTTAAATATCACAATATAAGAGGAGGGTATTAAGTGAAATATAATTAAAGGAGTTATTATGAACGTTTTTTATTTACGATTCTTCCAGCACAATGTCAAATGCAAGGTATGATGAGGATGATGAATTCGATCCCGACTATGGTCAATGGCATGCGTGAAAATCAGGCCAAAGCGGCATTGGCGCCAATAGTAAAGTACGTAGTTGGAAATACAGCAACGCCCAGTCCAGAGATGGTCAACTTTGCCGTTATCGCGGGAAGCGCCCCAGTGACACAGACCGAGAAAAACGCTTATTTAGACATGATGAAAAAGGTTGCTAGACGCACTCCAGAGGTGATCATGCAATTCCTAAAACTTGAAAAGAATGGTTCATACGTATTGGATGAATTCGGACTAGATGCTCATATTACAAAACGGGCAATGCAATTTTCGATAGCAAGCGAGGCAAAGAAAAATCGAAAAAATAAAGAAAAAGAAAAGGAAAGGACACAAGAGCTTGAACGAATTCGAATGATGCAAGACCATGAACTAAGTTTATTGCAAGCACTTGGTCATGGCAATAACGCCGCTGATACAGTCCAAGGTCAAAACACTTTAAATACATTTACAGTTCAAGACCCTTTTGTTATAGCGTCAACACCCTCTCCATTTGATGCAGGGTTATTCGGATATGATATTTACGGTGGTGGTCCTGTGACAGACTTCTTCGCTCCTAGCCATCCAGTTCATGTAGACGCTCCTGCTCAGCATACTCCTGTATCAAACGCTGCCCAACCGGAATTTATTTCATTATTGGATATTTTGAGGAATTCCAACAACAATAATAATCAAGGAAGTAGAAGCAACTTTACTGTATCCAACCAAATGTCGCCAACGCCGACTGTAGGTCAAAACATGATGATGAATGGTGGTATGGACTTCGGATTTGGTTTCTAACGTGTCAAAAACATTGTGATTTAAATGTTTCAAAGTTTCAAAGTTTATTTCAATCAGAACCATTAGACTTAAAAGCCCATGAGAAATACATATTCAAAACTTAATGACGAACAATTTATACATTTAACAATAATTTCATTTTAACAATAATCTTGCAAACATAATTTACTTTGGAGAAGGTTTTTTCAGACTTATTCACCTTAGCCAATTGTGACATTTTTCGAACTAAATTTCAGTTTACCTCTTTCCAGTTTTAAAGTCAACCTTTTAACGAAACGAAACATAAAGGTGACTGACAGGAGTGAACATAATATTAAGATAACCTACATGACCTATTGTGCTACATATGAACAATACACATTAATATCTATTATATAAATACAGCACAATAAAGTGATATGTATTCTTTAAATTAAAGCTTAACATGGTTAACAATCTAAATAAATATTTGGAAAAAACATATGCCTTATTTCAAATACCCTATAATATTTCTTTACGTTTTTTAAAAGATGTGTGTATGAAAGTTCTAAGCATTCTTACTATCATCTGGTTTTAGTTATTCATCTAGTATATAAATTTGTACATAAATTATTTGGTCTTCGCCAATATTTTGATAATAATATTTATGTCTTGAAAATGTATTGAATAACATATAACTGTATCGTACATTGTTACATGTTTACCGATTTCCTTTTACATAAAGATTAAATGTGACATCATATAAAGTGTATATATGGTACACCAGATCATTACTCTTTGATTAATCTGTGTTATATTATTGGTTTTTAAAAGTATCAGATTATACCGGAAATGCTGATTGCTAAAATTGCCGGAAGTGATGACTATTAAAACTTACCGGAAGTGCCGATGCCGGAACAGAGAAAATCATGGCTTCATTAAATATCGGACTCTGTTCACCGCGCTTGACTGTCGTTTTCTTCTTGTTTACTTTCTTGCCGTTTTGCAATAAGTAAACTTTGACAAAAGGATCTGAAAAAAAGTGAAACACATATTATAAAAACAGAATGAAATACATGTTATGAAACAAAGATCATTTAGACCATAAAACGCGTACATATTTTCATCAGTCTATGTTAATGTCGTCGCGTATATGAATGAGTACAAAAAAAAAATACAAATGATAAACAGACAACAAAAACAATTTTATAAGATGATTATATACTAGTATTTTAGTATCTTGTTATGTTTTTAAATTAATACAGTTTTTCTTGCGATCTAAAATAGCATTTTCTATTAATATATCAACCTATCAACCATTGGTTTTGCATCAAAGTTTTGAAAATGTTAGCAAAATGTTATATTTGACCTAAAATATTGAATAAAGAGCTGATACTCTGTTGCATAACTTAGTTCTAGTGGAATGCATTTTTTCACGGCGTCTCAACGCCGTGAGTGTAGTTTTCGGTAGCATGGGCAAAAGTCACGTGACAAGTTTGTTGTACACAATACCTATCCGAATATGGAGTAACTATTTTCCACTAGGGTTGCACCATATGCGATCAGATCGAAAAAAGAATACATTGTTTAGTACAACTAAAATACAAACGGTTATCATATCTTGTCATAAAAAAACTAAGGTAATAATAAGAATAAAATTATAACCTTTCAGTCCCTTAGTTAAATACTAGCTTCAGTTACCCTTAACGGTTATTGAATTTTCTAACGGGTTTTTCGCTAAAAACTGACCATACCCATTTAAACGGACAAACGTGACACACCCACTAAATGGCTAGGCAACATCATAAACAGTTTAAGCTTTTATGGAGATTTTAAAAGAAAAAAAGCGTTTAAAAGGTAATTAATTTTGTTGGACTTCTTAACCAGGGTTCTTGAGTTCTAAACAATGGTACTCATATCTAACGTTTTTACACTGTTATCTCATATAGTTGTTTAAAGATTGTGTGTTATAAAGAAACAGCTATAACACCATAAATCTAACTTAAACCTCCGACTACATAAAATGTCTAACACACATGTGTAAGCCCAAACACAATTGTCATTTGAATTTGATTTTATTTGTAAATTACAGACAGGCAAATAATGGATCTTTGCATAACGATATACATTTGGAATCAAGTGTTTTCTCTTTTCTTCTTTATTTGCTAAGACCATTTTATTTTCTAAGAAAAAATAGATTAAAAAACAGAAAGAAAGAAAGAAAGAAAGGATCATACCCCCTGTGTCTTTAGCATCAGACCAGCGCAGGTTGCGAGCTTTTACTATGACAATAGTTAGGCGTTCTGCTGTAGGAAGATAACTCAATGAGAACATTATATCACCGAACTCTGTTGGCTTCTGAAAACGAAAAAATGATAAGATTTAGATAATATATATATGTATGAATATATTGTACGGATGTTGTATAAAAACATGTATAGATATTTGCCAACGCTTATATGTTTGTTTTAAATAAATAAACCTTCGTTGATAATAATAATAATAATAATAATAATAATAATAATAATAATAATAATAATAATAATAATAATACTAGTTATAATAATAATGATAATAATAATAATAATAATAATAATAATAATAATAATAATAATAATAACAATAATAATAATAATAATAATAATACTAGTAATAATAATAATAATAATAATAATAATAATAATAATTATAATAATAAAATAATAATAAAATAATAATTAAATAATAATAATAGCAAAAATAATAATAATAATTTAATAATAAAAAAAATAATAATAAATAATTAAAAAGAAAAAAAATAACGTGAAATATACGTCAGAGTAAAAATCGCTATGAAGACAAATTGACATTATTTGTTAACTAGGAATAGAAGTATATTATCGTGTAAAAAGAGAAGACAAACACGACTTGTGAGAGGCAAACAGATGTTATGTCATTCACAGAAATACACGTAACAGATACATCACGCGGATGGGACCATGAGGTTAGGGCCAGCTGTTTTTCTTATTAAAAAAATTAACGACTTATTTTGTTTTAAAACTAAAAACAAATCTATGCCTTATCTAAATCGGATAGAAATTTCTAGATAATAGGCCTATTTCGTTCGTTTGTAATATTTTTAAAATAGTCAAGTTTTGACATCATCAAAACCTTTGCAAGCAAGCTGACAACGTGAAGTCTATTTCTAGCAATAAAGGAGCAGCGTCACGACAAAACCAACATAATGGGTTTGCGACCAGCATGGATCCAGACCAGCCTGCACATCTGCGCAGTCTGATTAGGATCCATGCTGTTCTTTTTCAGATTTCACTTGTTATACGGTTTGTAAGCGAACAGCATGGATCCTTATCAAATTGCGCGGATGCAAAGGCTGGTCTGGATCCATGCTGGTCGCAAACCCACTATGTTGGTTTTAGTCGTGAGGCTGCTCAAATGATGACGTAACCTGATTAGATAGAAGTATTTGTTTGTACAGAAACACGATGCACTTTTGATAGATTAGATAGATTAGGAAATCAATATTTACAAATTATTTATTGAAAGACATGTTACTTTCGTTGCCAGTTATCATGCCATGTTATCTTAAACAAGTTTGACAGGTTAAGTGTTTTCTAAATGAACCAGACAAATCCAGTCAAACTGAAACATGTGTTGCATTTTTAGAAATTGTATTTCAATATTTTGTTTTAGCTCTATATGGGAAAAATGTTAAGATAAGACAGATTACATACATGTATGTCTTAAAACACTCGCGCGAAAGTATATGTTATCATTGCCTTAATGTACCATATGTAGGCGGGATGTTTTTTCTTAGTGAATTGTTTGTTAATTTTTTGCCCTTTTTGCCATTAGCGCCTGTTTTGGATCTCGTAATAATGTACAATTGAGCTACTGAATTCAGCAAATGCATTCGGCAAACTTCGGAATTTTCCGATTCTATATTTATATGCATTTGATAAGCGGCTATTTAACAAATTTAAATATCTTTCTTTCTTTTATAACATTATAACAAACTGAAAATGGAGGAAAATGCACGCCACACGCTTGTGATGATAATATTACCCAAACCAAGGAAGTGTCTCGTGCTTAAATTACAACTCCCCGAAATGCTGTTACATTATATAAATGTTAATTTGCGTCAGCTTTATCTAACGTCAACTACAGAAATTTCTAAGATTTATGCTAAAGATTATAGTTAAAGTCATCTTTAACGACATCCATCTATATCTTTAAGATGCTAGCTACGTCATCTATCTCTTTAAGAATTAAGCTTACGCCATCTTTATCTTGAAAGATTTAAGCTTTAAGTTACGTCATCTTAATTTCTAAAATGTTTGCATACGTCGTCTATATCTCGAAGATTAAGCCACATTTTGATAGGGTTCCTGAGATCGACGTCACCTATACGAAGTTCTGATTCTCCTATTACTTTATGACGTTGATATTTGTCTATGGCAAACAGCTGAAATTGAAGCGTCTTTTCCTCCAAAATTTCAGGGTTAAAGTTGAACAAGAAACGCTCTTTGTAAATAGGATCCGTCGTGTTACGTTGAATCTGAAATGAATTACATCTTCAATGATTAACATTATTAACAGCTGACTGTTTAAGTATTAGCAAGTCATTTCCTTGAAATCGAAACTAAAGAACTTGAATTCTCATAGTTTCGTAAGACAAACGAGGGCGATAGCATACAACAATCACTGCTGTCACACTGACGTAATTAAACTGAACTTGCATCATAGGAGTGTCCATTTTAAACGTGATGGACGATTTTTAAGATTTCAAATTTTCATTCATTGACGTCGAGAATTTTTAAAATAAATCGAATTCTTAAAATAAATCAAAATAAACACGAATCGATGTTTAATTGAGAGACAATATCAACAGACAATCTGGTATACATTATCTGTATCTACAAGTTACTATTTTCTTTTTTCTATTCTTGACCAATCACATTGCAAGACACTTCATCAAAAGACTTTTGCCAACATATACAGATCTTTCTTAAAAGAACACTGTTTTTACCTTTGTTTGAAATTTGGAATCTGAATCTGGAAGTATCATTCCTCTAATGTATGTATCTAAAGTTCCTGTATACTGATTGGCTGTCAAATCACGAGCTTGTATAATGCTGACCACAAGTTCCGAAACCTCCCTGAAACAACAACAACAAAAACAACATTATATACAGAAACAATCATTGTCCGTTCGTCTGAAGAAAGTTACCGAAATACCTCACAAGAGATGGTGCCCAAATGTACTGTGCAAATTACAGTAATAAAATATCCCTGGAACATAATTACTATATTTTCCAGTAAGTTCTCCTGACGAAGTTCAAAAGGTCGGTTGTTTGCTCTTGGTAAAATACAATAAAACATGCCATTATACGTAATGCATTTTTATTAATGTTATAATAATATATGTTTTTACACATAAAAATGTGCCTTCATGATTAAAAACATCTAAAAAAGTAAATATAAAAGTTATATGTTATCTTGCCGTATTATTCCTTGAAGCAAATTAAATTCTCCTGAAAATTCAGCAAAGTTCATCGTTTATGCTTGCTTTAAAGACCTGATTATGTATTGAACAATGGTGCAAACAGCATATATTTTATCATATACAGCATCGAAACGAAATAAAGATACACAAACAAATACTAAAGTATATAATAAGCCAAATTTTAAATTTTATATTAATCTTTCATGAATCTTTACATACGAAAATCGTGAAAATTACATCGGTACTGACAAAATCACAAGTGCGTTTATAAATTTTAACTTTTGATAAATATCTGATTGTATTTGAATACAATGACTCATTTTAGGTTAGGCCTAACATACGTTATCAAAGTTTTTTATTCATGCTTTTTTAAAATATATTTCTTCGTTAATAGCTTCTGTATTTTTCCTAGTTTACTGACAATAAAACTCTTAAATTGCTTTCTCATTTTCATCATATATTATATTAGAAATCTCTTAAAATAGTTCCGATGGATGCACATGACATTTGAATGATACTAAATTCATTCGGAATGTTTGAGAGGATCTAAAAAAACATATTTTATTACCAAGTGCAGGTATGTCATGAAAATTGATCAATACAAAACAATGACAAATCAATATAATCAAATATAATTTCCTGGCAAATAATTGCAGGCAATTTACTAAAAGACGGCACGTCAACAACATCTTTACTCTCCAAAACAACACTAAATAACATGTTTTAACCGTCTAGAGGTCTATCTGTAATATAGATAATAGAGGTATAACGTGAGTAAGCAGCAAAGCAATGGCTTATGTCAGTGTGTTAATGTCTCCGGTCACAAAAGTAATTTTCAGACCAAAATAGACCAAGCAGGAGCGAGAGATTCATTAAACTTGCAAGCTTGTGGAAAATAAATGATTAGAATAAGTTCTACATAGTGCCAAGATTGATGAAACTAAAATCTGATATGATAGAGTGACTTGTAATAAATAAATTTATGTCGTGATTTATTTCCTTCCAGACAAGGAATCCACAAAACAACGTTGTCAACTACACGAAGAATACCAATGTAAAAGGAAAGTGAGTGATGTTAAATTTCCGATCCTTAAAAATAGTTCAGCACCACATTATTTCTGTGTTTGTGGTATTTTTAGTTTTCACTTTTTGGCATTTTTCTAGATGGGTCGTTCCAATATTCCTACTTGAATAATGTTGAATTACCCTTAGAATATGTTGCCTGCTTTTTAAATTTGTCTTTTGACGTCTTATCTGTGATGTGCAGGCTTCATAACCTCTGATTCCCCTTTAAAATTCCACTTAATATCTTATTTGGGGACCATACGCCGCTCTTCATGGAATGTCACGATAGTGTCACATTGAAGGTTTCATGATTACCGCTGTATTAAAACATCTGCCGATGTTTCTAAATTCCAAATTTTACTATAATTACATGTTTGATGTTTTAATGTGAATACTGCTAGTAGTTTATATTATCGATGATAGAGACATTTTTAAAATGTTCTGGTTAAATATACAATTACGTTGATTTTGGACATCATCAATGAAATACAAGGAAAGACCAAAATCTTGACCAATTCTTTTACCATCTAGTAAATCTTCATATATTGATAGTATATGTATTAAGTTTGTTCTTTTGCTTATTGTTCTACTGACGTCTAGTTCTTCTTCCATCAATAAGAAGCATTTTGTTTATAGAAAAAGTAGTTTTTCAGCGAGATTACAGAAAGTCAGAATATGAACGCCATTGAGTCATTATTGCGTTTTTCTTTGACATATAATTAACTTATCGATTGGAACAAATTTTAATCTTTGGCTTACGCACATTGAACACATTTATAAGATTTAAGAATTGCTGATATCTGTTTAATAACCTATCAATAATTTATTTACTGACTGACTGACATAATACCCACACAATACAACACCGCTTGACATTTAGAGATAATTTATAAGATATCTCCTTAAGCAAAACTAGTAATTTAATAAGATTAGGTCGTATAGAAGATTATTGAGCTAAGAAGTTCAATTTTGATGAAAACATTCCACGCTATTATTGAATGTTATCCAAATGTTATATGAAACAAATGAAACATATATCAAAACAGTAAAATTTGGAAAAAAGTGTTTGAATTAATATGCATATATTTGAACACATATAAAATGGTTTGGCTTTATTTGAAACTATAACAAATCTTATACAGGTCACTTGATATATTACTTCTCACTTGCATGTGAATTTCTTTATATATGTTTCATTCAATTTGACAAAATATCCGTAGATAAATCAAACTGAAACCTATATATTTCGACAGATTTTTGTTATACTAGGTCAATGTCTGCGGGACTTATTTTAACTTTAGTGCTGAAATGTTCCGAGGAATTTCTTATTGCTGTCCAGCTATTAATCTATAAGCTGACAAGTATACAATGGCAACCAGAAAATATATTACTTGACATACAGAACTACATTATAAAAAAAAACGATTCTACATACCGAAAGAAGAAAACATATTATGACAAGAACATTGACCTATATTACATTAGAATTTATAGTGGTAATTAAAGTGTCACCTAAAATTTTCATATGTTTACCAGCTTTTATAATTGTCTGCTAAAAGTTCCGTTGAATCAGGTATAAATGTTTTAAAGACAAGGACATATTCCAGTATCATGGCAATACGTGTAGGTGTTGTTTATAGACCAAATAATAATGGAAAATAACCATTTACTTCTTATTTAAAACGGTATTTTAATAATGAATTTTTCAAGGCCATTTCTCAAACAATTTTGTTTATAAGCTTCTGAATTAAAAGAAAAATAAATCTAAATTGATGGAAGATGACGGTATATACCAACAGTTGCTTTATTATGTAATATGAGCTTGGTTTAAACAATATTTATTTCTTCATCAATATTTACAGGCAAAATTACAATATATAAATTGCATTCAGGATTGAGTAGAAAGCTTAAAGCTTATATGAAACTCTCTCCTGTAAAAGATATTAGCAATTTATTTCATTAAGAACATGATATAGTTTTTGTAATAACAGTTTATTGTATCTGCATTTAATTCCTTCCGTATATTTACAAGAAGATAATAAATACCTACCACGTATGACGTAATTTGTAAAGGAGCTGAACATGTCAAGTGTATAAGATGCAATGCCTATATCAAAATTTAAATCATGATTCGATATGGGAGAAAGGGAGATAAATAGACAGAAAAAAAAAGAGGAGGTCAGAATGGAAGCACAAAAAGGAGAGCTTGCAAAATGGTATGGTCATGATGTGAGATTACGTGATCCTACAATGAATTTCCTGTTGTTGTTTTTTTTTCTATTCAAACACGATTATGTAACTTCAAAAAATGAGTATTCGTTATCTCACTTTACACAACTTTAAGAGATCTTTGACCTCAAAGGAAATCATGAATTTCAAAAACGTTCATCCGTTCTTTATAACATTTAAAACAAACATCTCTTTTAGTAGGATTTCGTTTTTCATTATTTTGAAGAAGAATTATACAAAACAAAGCAAAGAAAAAAACTAAACTACGCAATAGAAGTGAAATGGGTATTTTTCATGCATAGAAAATATTTATTATAAATTGAATTCAGAAAACATAAAGATATATATTTAATATAATGCATGACGTCACGATGCTATATTTGCATTTTCTATTTTCATTTCTATTTAAGTTAACTTTCTCGGTAAGAAAATATTGAAACGAGATAAAATATAACACATTATTTGGAAATATTAAACCTCAGTAAGGTATATGACATCAAGTTTCTCATATTACCATTAAAGTAATTAACATTTGATTTAGATATCACCTGTTAGAGAATAAGTCTCTAAAAAATAACTTCTGTACTGCTACATGTATTACATTTCAAATGTTCTGTCATTAAACGGAATTAAATATTAAATTCTATAACTGATATAATAAAACCAAATGCAAAAATTCCTTTAATACCTTTCAATATCACTTCATTCTGATCAAATATACCAACCATATGTACAGATTGTTGACTCTGGCAACTGATGGTCATGCTGCTTTAATTGCAAACGATAAATGTTGCTGGAAATGTTAAGAAGTACATTTCCAATCACTGAGAACAAGAGACTGATGTTTGTGTCCCGTGAAATTGTTTGCTATTTTGTTGCTTCCCTACGTCTGAGTGGTTTGTTATATTAAGTAAATTGACGGATTATCTTGGGAAATAATTATACGATTTCTGAATATTTTTTACTAATAGGCACACGAACGAGATGATTCTTGAATAATATATGAATACATGTGCATATCTTTAAATTGATCATGTTTCAGAATGCTTATAAAAATTTCGATGTTTTTATTGTTTACAAGTATTAATATATAATTTATAATGCCGAAAGAAACACGCCAGTTAAAATGATGATGTTTATTGTGAAAAAATTCAGACTCTATAACAAAAGAAATTAATATTGGAACTATTTGTCATCAAATTATTGATCGCTCAAGAGCATAAAAAATAATAGATAATGAAAATTTCTTCATATTAAATATTTCAGGATCAATTTTGACACGTTAGATTGTGTTACTCTGTGCATTATTTACTTTCTTTGTTTACCGTCTTACCTCTTAAATAATAAAACTTGAATGCA